TCTCCTGCTGCGGCGGGCCCCGCTGACTCACGCTGGTGAGCTTGGGGTTTGCACCCGCGTTTGTGCAGTGCTCCAAAACAAGCGTCTAAAAGTCACTCCTCAGGCACAGACAGCTTCCCGCCACCCTCCGCCCTGGATGCACTTGGCCCCAGGCCTCGGTCAGCCCGGGGACTGCTCCTCCCCTCCGTGGCTCACTCAGCAGAGGCACTTCGGGGGCGCGGGTGAACGCCACGTTCCCTGCGAGCTCCCGCCTCTTGGCAAGGCGAGATCCTCACTCGGGTCCTCCCGTCCAGTTCTCACCACTGTAAAGAGCTTCATACTGTCCACAAACGTTTGTGGATCCCTTACTGCGCTCCAGGAACTGCAGAAACGCTAAGAGGACTCAAATAGAACTCGACTCCTGCCTCTGAGGGGCTCACAGTCCAGAGGCAGGTCTACACGTCTATTGAAATCAGTAAAGTTCCCTGAGGCGCCTGGCTGGCTCAGTTGGTGGAGTTCGATCTCCGGGATTGTAGGTTCAAGCCCTGTGTTGGGTGTAGAGATTACTTAAAATCTTAAAAGAAGGGGCGCCTGGGTGGCTCAGTCGGTTAAGCGACTGCCTTCGGCTCAGGTCATGATCCTGGAGTCCCTGGATCGAGTCCCGGGATCGAGTCCCGCATCGGGCTCCCTGCTCGGCAGGGAGTCTGCTTCTCCCTCTGACCCTCCCTCCTCTCATGAGCTCGCTCTCTCTCTCATTCTGTCTCAAATAAATAAATAAAATCTTAAAAAAAAAAAATCTTAAAAGAAAAAATTAGTACAGTTCCTCAAACAGTACTAGTGTAACAAGAACAACAACAAAAAAGTGGGGTGGAGGGCAATCAGGGCTTCACCCACTGAATTTTTAAGAGTATTTGGAGGATGGCTGGTGCTGGGAGAGGACACAGGTTATTCAGGGGAAGGGAAGAACATCCACAAACCACTGAAGGAGAAAGGCTCTAACTGGACAATAGAAGGGTTTGAAGTTGAGATGGAAGAGTTAGGAAAGTGGTGAAAATTTTGAATAACCAGTGTAAGTCACTAGAGAACCAAGTTAGACAAGTGTCATTGAAGACCTAGGGGAGTTTAGAAACCATAGTGTGTAATGATGCCCAGCTATGATTTTGCCAGCTATCTCTATAGGTTGATATATAAATATGGATATTTATGATAAAAGCAGTTTGTGGGCTGAGTAGAGGGAGGTGAGTGAGGCAGTTGAGGGTCTGGGAGAATGTGATTGTGGTATTGAACTGGGCGTCTAGTCCATACAGGAAAGGACCGAGAGCAGTGTGGAGCTGATAGACTAGGAAGAAAAGAGACAGAACTAAAGACAAAGGCCTATGGGAATAAGGGAGCTGGCACACTGTTACCAGCTGTGGCGTTAGCATTGGAGACTTCAAAGGGGAAGTAATTCCAGGAGATGATTCAGTTTAGGGTCTGACATCTGAAACAGAGTCAAATGAGTGGGTCGAGCATCCACCAGGCCAGTGTGTGGGACACTGAGGTCCCTGGAATTTGGAGGAGTCCAAGGAACCAAATCTTGAGGCCAAGGAACCAAATCTTCAGGGAATGTGGAGGAGTGACCCTGAAGCTAATAGATGACGGCAACAAGGATGGGTGGAGGCTGTACGGCAAAAATTCAGTGAGTTTCAAAGCAAAGGGGAGTTTCTCCCCACCAAGAGTAATGTCATAGAAGAAGAAGGAAGGCACTAGGGTCAGTGATGTCAACTTCTGGAAAAATAAACAGAGGCTCCACTCAGCAGGAAGTGTATGGAAGCCCCAGGTCTTCATGGAGGCCAATAAATAAATTTTTTGAAAAGGAGGAAACAACTTTGGGGTGCCTGGATGGCTCAGTCGGTTTAAGCATGTGACTTCAGCTCAGGTCATGATCTCAGAGTCCTGGGATCAAGTCCCACATCGGATTCCCTGCTCAGCGGGGAGTCCGCTTCTCCCTCTCCCTCTGCCCCTCCCCCTGCTTGTGCTCTCTCTGTCTCTCTCAAATAAATAAATAAAATCTTTAAAAATTAAAAAAAAAGGAAACACCTTTGAAGCCTGGAGGCATGGAGAGGTTTGTTATGAAACAAGTCTTCCAGAGCATCCTATGGAAAGGACACTCATGAAAATGGGCTGACATCAATGGTGATATTCCCCTGCCACATATGTAAGGTTTCCTTCCACATTTCAATACTTCATTCCCTTTTCACAGCCAGGACAATTACTATGATCCCCTTTCTATAATGAAGAACCTGAGGCTTAGAGATGTGAGGTGTCCTGACCAAAGGTACATTACGAGTGGGAAAGCCAGGACATCAATGTAAATTGTTTGTCCCCAAAGCCAGATTCTTCACCACAGGATGTGGGGCCTTATCCTTATCTTATTCTATTCCTCTATGTAGCTAACAGATGGAAGATATTTTGTGAATACAAAGGGATTATTATGATAACTATTGTATTATTAATCCAAAATGGGGAAAAAATTGAACAGAAAAACAAATTTGATAACAGGATTCAGATTGACTGATTTGGGGTGGGACAAGAATATCCTCTTCATGGCCCACTACCAGCATAGCAATAAGAATAAAAAAAGAGATGAAAACAAAGTCTGTCATTAAGTTGATTGCTCGTGCTCTCTTATAATCTTTTATTTTGAAGAATTCTACCTTTCAGAACCATTGTAAAACTGTCTGTTCCCTGGGGAACACAGCCTTTACTGTGGTTTTGGGTGTTCCTGGAGATAAGGCAAAAGTAGAGCTGAATGGGCTGGGCCCCACCTCTGCACTATATTTATGCAGGTGAAGAAACTTGAAGGGCAGAAAGGACAAATAACAGGTCAAGGTTATTCATCTATTAGATGGTGATGTTAGAACCTTCATTCCTCTAGGCTTCTGACTGAAATTCTGGGCTCAATCCAATCATACTTGAAACAAATATCCCTTTTCAGTAGTGTTGACCACTTTTAGGTTCTTACTGACATAAATCCCAGAAAATACTGGTCCTAAGATGTCTCCTGACTTTCAAAGCTGAATCAACACCCAGACTCTAAAAACAGGTTGGAATATCATTGATGCCACTGAACTGTACACTTAAAAATAGTTAAAATGGGGGGCATCTGGATGGCTCAGTCGGTTAAGCATCCAACTCTTAGCTGAGCTCGGGTCTTGATCTCAGGGTCGTGAATTCAAGCCCCGCACTGGAGTCCACACTAGACGTGCAGCCTGCTTTAAAAAAAAAAAAAAAAAAGTTAAAAGAACAGATTTATGTTATATATATTTTACCACAATTTAAAAGATTAATAGTGTAATATACCAGAAACCATTGAATTGTATACTTTAAATAGGTTAATTATATGGTATGTGAATCATATCTCAATAAAGTTGTTTGGCCTTTATTAAGCCAAAATCCTGGACCTGAATTGTGAATATAACTCAGGCTGGAAAACTGGAGAGCAGGGAAATCAGAATCAGAATCTGTCATAATCTGTCCCCACATACTCCCACAGGACACTGGAACTAGGTGAGAGGAGGAGGAATAATGGGTGTCCTTCGCCAACAGATTGCTTAAGACTGTGCTTGTGAAATCCGTTCATGCACTGGAGGGGTAGTTGTTCACTTGACCAGTTTTTTTTTTTTCCATTTACATGTTATTACAGAAAAAATTAAAGGTACAGAGCAGCAGACATAAAAGTATAACCACCAGCTTGGACAACTGTCAAACCATGGCCAAGCTTGTTTCATCTATATCCCTACCCATTTCTGCCCCCCTTCCTGTATTAATTTGAAGCAAATGACAGACATCCTATCATTTCTTTGGTAAACATCTCAGCACGACTCTCTAAAAGAGAAGAACTCCTTTAAGTACACGCAACACCATCACCACAATTTAAAAATTAACAATCCCTATGTCCATCAACACATAAATGGATAAACAAAAAGTGGTATATACATGCAATAGAGTATCATTCAGCCTTTTTAAACAGCCTTTTAAAGGCAGAATTTTAAGAAAATTCTGACACATGCTACGAACGGATGAATATCAAGGACATTTGCTAAGTGAAATGAGCCAATCACAAAAAGACAAATATGGTATGATTCCACTTATATGAGGTTCCTGGAGTAGTCACACTCATAGAGACATAAAGTAAAATGGTGAGTGCCAGGGGCTGGTGAGATGAGAGAATGGGGAGTTGTTTAATGGGTACAGTTTCATTTTTGGAACTTGAAAAGACTTCTGGAGATTGGTTGCACAATGTGAATGTACTTAACGCTACTAAACTGTACACTTAAAAATGGTTAAGATGTTAAATTTTATGGGTATTCTACCAGAATTAAAATTTTAATTTAATAATTTCTTAATTTTATGAACTATCCAGTACTCAAATTCCCAATTCTTATAAACGTCATACTTTTCCCCCCAATGTTTGTTTGAATTAGGATCCAAATAAAATCCACAGGTTGCCACGGAATACGGCTCTTAAAACATTTCTGACCTATAGGTTTCCCTTCCCCTCTCTTCCTTACAATTTATTTAAAGAAACAAGGTCGTTTGTCCTGTGGTTTCTCACAGCTTAAATTCTGCTGCCCGCATCCCATGGTGTCCTTTAACACTTTCCTTAGTCCTCTGTATTCCCTGTAAATTAGTCGTTGGACCTAGAGACCCTGGGCCAATTTTGATTGGGACTCAGAAAGGGGCTACAGACGTCCATTTCTGCGGCGACGGCCCAGCTGGACCTGAAAAGGCGAGGCTAAGCCAGCAGCCAAGCTGCTTAGAGAGACAGAAACGCCGTTTACACGTCAGTCAGTCACCTAGAAAAGCTGGGGAAGGACGAGAGAGGACCGGGCGGGACCACGCTGGGAAAACCCTTTGTCTGCTTTCCACGCACGTCATAAAGTTACTGAAATAAACAGCCAATGGGGGAGGGGCCTTTGGCGGAAATGACATACATGCGGGCGGTGGCAGAGCGGCCATAGAGACGGGGAGACGGATAGAGAGGCTGCTCCAGGGCCGCACTTCCGGCCATCTCCCTGGGAGACGCGCATTGTGGAGTCGGGAGCAGGCGGTGCAAGTTAGGGTCTCCGGTGGCCGGGACCGCTGTACCGGCCCCGCGGGCGGGATGTTCCGGGGTTTGAGCAGTTGGCTTGGCTTGGAGCAGCCGGCGGCGAGTGGCCGGCAATCTGAGGGAGACGGGCAGGTCGAGGGAGACGCTCCACCCCAGCAGTGCTCCGAAGAGGTGTCAGAGTCGGCAGAGGAGGAGCCGCGGCAAGCGGGGGACCAGGAACTCCTTCATCAGGCAAAAGGCCTCGGCAGTGAGTCTCCTCCGGCCCTCGGGACCAGAGTGTGTGTGTGTGTGGGGGGGGTGCCCGCTCCCTTCTCTTGACGCCCGAGGGCGCGGACCCGACTGGTTGGGGGGTGTGGGGTGGGTGGAAGGGGAGGAAGGTGTGTCTGTCACTCGGTCGTCTTGGGACAGGGGAGGTTGATGAGGATCTGGGCAAGGCCGAAGTTTCATCTAGCAGTCAATCCTGTGCCTGAAGTTCCTGGTGACAGGTCAGTCTTTACGAGGTGTGTAAACATTGGGAGCCAGGGCTTCCGTAAAACGGTGTGGTTCGACGTCCTTAGGTTTGACAAGGGATCTTTTTTGTTTAGTTCTCCAGCTTTCACCTCCACACGCCCACCCCCATGACGGGGGACGTTGGGGAACTTTAGTTGGTTGGAAAAGTGCCCTTTGTGCCCTTAGGGCACAGTGTGTTGTCCGAAGTAAAATTGCGGGCAAGAGTTACCGAAGGCCTCCCTCAGGCTGGTCTCCTTTTTAGGTGCAGTGGAATTTTTTTTTTAAGGCGGGAAAGTAGCTGTCCATTTTTGTCTGTGATGCAGGTTTCGGTACTAGATGTTTGATGAACGATATCTCATTTAATCTGTTAAACCTCCCCGTGAGTTGGGAGAACAAGCCCAGAGTTACTGGCTCAAAGTTACACTGATAGTAAGCAGTAGATGTGGAATTTGAACCTAGGTCTGTCTAATTTGAAAGCCAGTCTAGTTAGGGAGGAGAGTAAAAGTAGTAGGTTTGAAGAATAAACACAGAGCTCTGGTAATTCTGATTCTGGAGACCTTGGCGGGCTTAAATAATAAAAGAAAACGTCTTTGAGAAGGTGGGGCCTAAAGCAGATTGCACTACAAGTGAGAGACCTGCACCAAAGGTAGATACTAAATTTAGCAAGTGTTTTTTAAGAATCTACTAAAAGGCCAGTTCATAGGGGAGGCTGGAGCCTGAGAGTGGAGAAACACATATTTGAATGAGAAGGGCTCTAACATTTCAAGAAGTTTGGGGAGGGGGCAGGGAAAACACATAATCTCAAGATACGGCAGTACAGAATCTCAGCTCAAGGTCCCCAAACAGTGCACAAGAGAAATAAAACTAAGTGCTGTGCAACAAAAGCTCTAAAGAGGGAACAACTGTTTTGTGTGTAGAAAACTGAGAAGAAACGAGCTTGCAATACTCAAAAGATGTGAGATGAATTGGACTAGAGCAGAAAGGCTATGTTAGGTATTTGAGATAGATACAAGTGGGACCATGTTAGGAAAAGCAGGGTATGGGTGTTTACTCCATTTCATAGAACATAGAGAACTATTTTCGTTGATCTTCAGGGGACTATCAAAAGTCGCTTTTTTTTTTTTTAAACTAATTTCCTATGCCTAACATGGGGCTTGAACTCACAACCCTGAGATCAAGAGTCACATCCTCTAGTGACTGAGCCCGCCAGGCACCCCAGAAGTCAATTATTAAAACAGCGAGGGCTTTATCGTCAACTTGAAACCTCACGTTTGTATTTACTTATTTTTTTAAAGATTTTATTTATTTATTTGAGAGAGCAGGGGGAGGGGCAGAGGGAGAGGGAGAAGCACACTCCCCGCTGAGCAGAGACGTGGGGCCCGATCCCAAGACCCCGGGATCATGACCTGAGCCAAAGGCAGACGCTTAACCAACTGAGCCACCCAGGTGCCCTATATGTTATCTAAAAAGACTCCCCCCTCTCTTTTTTTAAAGGTTGTTTTTATTTATTTTAGAGAGAGAGAACGAGCTGTGGGGAGGGGGAGAGAGAGAGAAGCAGACTCCCTGCTGAGCAGGAAGCCCCGGGGCTTGATCCCAGGACCTCCCTGAGATCATGACCTGAGCCGAAGGCAGAGGCTTAATCAACTGAGCCACCCAGGTGCCCCAAAAAGACTCCTCTCTTAAAAACTGAAATTAGGTGCCTCTGAGCCCGACTCCCACTACGTAGATTCATTTCTTTAGCCTTTTAAAATCTACGTGGGCTCTTACACTCAATACTACCTAAATACTTCTGGTTCATGGTGATCTATTTGTAAATTTAGGCAACTCACCAGTTACAAATGGTGGACACCCAGGCCTAGATTCCACTCCCTCACCCAAAACCGAACCTTCCCATCCTTGGTCCTTCTTCCTGATAAACTCTGGCCTCCTAGGATTACCTGCTTCAGAAGGAGGGCAGTTTATAAGGGAACTCAAAGAAGAGCTCCTCCCTACCTCCCTGAAGGCCTCATGCCCCAAAGTAACTTCTAATTCAGCACAGATTGGTTGCTTGATTTTTGTTAAAGTCGACCAAATTGAAGCTTTTTCTGTACTCTTCCTTTAAAAAAAAAAAATCCATACCTCTGAGAGTGTTAAATACATGAGTCATTTGCACAGTTTAAATAAGTGGGAGGATGGCCAAAAATGAGCTTTGGTTTTTTCAAAACCGTCTCTAAGGCCAGTCCATGCCCAGAAATGGAGGAAGGACAACCTCCTCTTCTTTGAAAAGTGCTCTTAGTATTTGCAGTGGAACTGTATTAATTAGGCCATCCTCTTTTTCTGTAAGGAAAGTGCATTTCAAGTTCTAGATGCCTAACTTGCTTAGTTTACAAAACTAAGAAGGCCCCAAAAGTTAGTGTGTATGTAGGAAAATACATGTCTGCTTCAATACAGAAGTAAAATAACTGATTCAGTTCTGATGACAAACCCAGGTTTACCATGAGGGAGGGCAGTGCAAATGGTCAAGAGCTTGGATCCCACATCTTATAAACAATAATAAAGAGAACTGGGGATTTTAGCTTGAAGAAGAAACTTGGGGCATTGCTCAAAATTCTGAAAGTTTTTTTGTAGAAAAGTCATTCTATGTTACTTAAGAGGATAAATCTAAATCTGAGAGGTAGGAATGACAAGGAAAATGAAAAGGATTTTCTAATTAGAGGGGGATAACAGTAATAATTGGCTACACTTTGAAGTCATGTGCTCCCCATCCCTGGAAGTAGGGCTACCTGGATAAGAGGTTCAATTAGGTAACCTCTAAAAGCCCCTTCCAACATGAAGATGCTCAAATTGTATGAAATACAGTATTTTTGAAAAGTTAACCAGCAATGGCTTAAGAATATTGGTTTTCTAAGGCTTTGCCTTAGAAACCACTATCTGCTCCTTATTTTCTTATTCTAGCAGCAAGCCTTAATCTCTTTATTCTTTTTACTCTGACAAATGTATGCTTTTTCTGACCTTTGAGAACCTTCCCACTTTCCTTTATCCTTATCATTCCATTCAGTTCTGTAAGCCCTTGTCACTTGCTCATATGAGATGAGGCAGTATGGATTTGGGGCACAAGCTTGCCAGTTAGAAGCAGATAGCTTATGTTTGAGTTTCCTGCATTGTTGTCTTTATTGTGATACCATTTGCAAATTATAGAAAATTCAGCTGCAAGTTACAGAGAATCCAACAGAGGCATAATGAGAAGACCTTGATTATGTCGGAAGTTCCCAAGACCACCCCTAGGTTTGATGAGCACCCACCAAAATGGGGGTTGTTTTGGCAAGAAGGAAGGGGCTAGGCATTGGATAGGCAGTCAGCAGAGTCTGCCACTATCTTAATGGGCAAATCATTTATCCTCTGTGAGCCTTGGCTTACCTATCTGTAAACTGGGCAGATTATACCTATTCTTCCCAGGATGATTGTGAGATTAAAATGACTACTTTCATTGTTAGCAGTTTGCCCTCTCCTTCCATAAGGCTGTGTCGTCATACTCACCGAGAGCCATTTTACTTAGTCTTCCTTTTCTTCTTTGGTTGCTGCTTTAGTTCAGACCTCTTTGTGCCTATGTTCCTGAAGTGGACATTGTACTCCTATTACTTCCTGTTAACTCTTATCTTAGTCTCAATTTTTTCTAACCACTTAATAAAAACTGTCTTTAACTTGGTGTCATCCAATATATTAATTTGCAAAATTAATAAACCATTTCTCATCTTTATGAGCTTCTTACCTGAAAATCTCCTATCATGCTTTCCCACACCCCACTCCCTCTGACCTCGGAATCCATCGCACTCTCTAATTACTCTTGGGAGAACTTCTCCCTCCCTTCTCTGAGTGCCTCTGTTGAATGATTATTCTTGCTTCTCTTGTCTTTGAGCCTTTTATTGGCTTGTTTGTTTAGAAATGGACATTCCTTGAGGGCAAGAACTATATTTCCTCCAGCGTTCTCTGTGTTCAGTGTACTCCACTCTTGGAGTCATTAAAATCTGAGAATTGAGATTATTATGCTAAAATAACCAGTTTTTATTTTTTTAAGTTTATTTATTTATTTAAGTAATCCCTACACCCAGTGTGGGGCTCGAACTCATGACCCCAAGATCCACAGTCACACGCTCTTCAGATTAAGCCAGGCACCCCAAAATACCAGTTTTTAAATGGCAGTCCTCCTTAGAATAAAAATGATGATTCTAATTAAAAACATTCTCCTGAGAAAATCTTAAAAGGAACCCTGCTCTTTTAGAACTTTAGATTTCTTAGACTGTCAGCAAAGAATATTTTTACAAAATAATCTGGCTGTCTACCCAATTTATCATACCACTTTGTAAATAGACTAGTCATAACCAAAGAGAAATGAGGGACCGCCCTAAAACTCAGCACTATTATGTTGCTCCCCATTCATCCATCTAGCAAGTACTTACTGGTCACTCATTGTGGATACAGTGGTGAATCAGACAACCTTGGTCCCTGCCCCAGTGGGACTTAGGATGGGCCTTCAGTTTAACTGAGAAGACTGAGCCACCAGGTAATCAGTAGAGTGTCATGAATATTGTTGGTCTAGCAACACAGGTGCTGAGGGAACACATCTCAGGAGCTCCTGCTCTAGTCAAGGAGCCAGGGAACATTGCCTGAGAAGTGCTATCTGTGTAAGCGGAGACCCACAGTATATGTAGAGTTGGCCAGATAAAAGTGTTTCAAACCAAGGAATAATGTATCTGAGACCTCCTTGGAGGTACTCAAGAATTTCTTGGGGTCATATGAATGTGGAATAGGAGGGGGAAGAATGGTGAGAATGAAACCAGAGGCAAGTAGTATCCTGTGGTATAGTCACAATGGGCTGTTGACATCACCGACAGGTAAACGCCACCAAACACAATGGGAGAAAGTAGACTGTTTATGGTAAAGGCTACAGAAAGTGGGAGAGAGGGTCATTCAGATTGGCAGATAGTACTGCTCCCAGACAGCAGTACAAGTTGCCTGATTCTCTGGAAGAGATACCAGCCACCAGTGAGGGTTTAATCTGGTGTGCCAAGCTCCCTTTGCCATTCTTATCTGGGTTTCCCCCCGCCTGAGTGTTGAGAGAGTCAACCTCCCTGCCCCTCAGCAGGTGCAAGTAGCAGAGGCAAGACTGCCCTAACTTAGGAGAGTATTTCCCACTAGATGAGATTGGAAGGCCAGTTGCCCAGGAGCATCCCCTAGCAAGTCCAGCTTCAGAACCTGCCTGAGGTTGCTTCCTGTAGCCTACATTGTATACAGTGTGGACTTAGAAACAATATTTGTCTATGTACAGACCTTTATGTTATAGTTGCAATAGAGCCTTGATACTTGTGTCTTTTCAAGTTTTCAGGAAAGTTAAATTTGTGCTTTTGCTTTGTTTTGTAAAGATGAAAGTTCGTGTGTTCCAGTTTTGTTTTTATTTTTATTTATTTATTTTTAAAGATTTTATTTATTTATTTGACACAGAAAGAGCACAAGCAGGGGAAGCAGAGGGAGAAGCAGGCTTTCCGCTGAGCAGGGAACCTGATGCAGGGCTTGATCCCAAGACCCTGGGATCATGACCTGAGCTGAAAGGCAGGCACTTAACGACTGAGCCTCCCAGGTGCCCCTACGTGTTCCAGTTTTAATCTTATTCTGCATATTTGCTCATTATTATTAGGTTAAGGATTTATGTTTATATTAGGGCTTGCCAAGATTCCTATTTATTAAAAATTCCTCCAGATTTACTATGGGATGGCTTAATCTAGGGAAGGAAGGGCATGTTTTCTTTGAACAAGAGGGAAGGAGAAAATAAAATAGGATATTTAGGGTCTGGAAAGGAAGGAAAGTGAAAGGGAGCCTTGATCTTATTTGTGAAGTTGGAAGGGAGATTATCTACTGAGATAAATTAAAATGAGAGACTGGAGAAGGGCAACACAAGTCTGAAACAGCTACTGGGGGAGAAGGGGTGGGAGAATGCTAGCCCTCTTTGAAAGAGATTAATTAAAGGCCTGGTATGGATGGCTAGTCCACCCAGAAAGTGAAGTACTGTCAGTGCTATCAGTGTTTGAAGTCCTAGTTAACAAGAATCGTGCCCTGTGGTTTAAGATTCCCGTGAGAGCTCTTTAAGGGACAATCACAAATATAATAACCATTGTACTTGAATGGAGCATAGACTGTCTTTTATTCTTTACAGACTATCTGTTTAGCTTTGCAACTGCTGCTACAAAAAAGATAACTGAATCAGTTGCTGAAACCGCACAAACAATAAAGAAATCAGTAGAAGAAGGAAAAATAGATGACATCATTGATAAGGTACATTTAAACATCTTTTGAAATTGATTAGCAGCTAATATAATTATCCCTTTTTATTAACTTTATCAACCCAAGTAGGATATCATATTCTGATAAAAATATTGTTTTGAGATTCTTGGGGTTTTTTTTTCTCTTTTTGTGTAAGAAGTAGCTATGATTTAAATAACCTTGGTTTTAATTTTAATATATTCTAAAATACACTGATACTTTTGGGTAACACTAAACTTTTTATATTGTGAATTTAATTTTAAACTATAACTGTTTCCAAATATTTATGCCTTTGAGTCATTCATTTAAGTGTTTAAAGTCCTAGCCCATTAGGAATTACACTTTTTTTTTTTTAAAGATTTTATTTATTTATTTGACACAGAGAGAGATAGCAAGAGAGGGAACACAAGCAGGGGGAGTGGGAGAGGGAGAAGCAGGTTTCCTGCTGAGCAGGGAGCCCGATGTGGGACTCGATTCCAGGACCCTGGGATCATGGCCTGAGCCGAAGGCAGACGCTTAACAACTGAGCCACCCAGGCGCCCCAGGAATTACACTTTTAAGTAAGTTTGTTCATTTCCTACAGTGGTAGGGTCCAGGCCCAGGGAATTTCATTTATGTTGGGAATTATTTGAACTAAGGAGGTCATCAATTAAACTTTAGATAGCTTGTTATTTAGATGCTTTGTTATGTGTACTATTTGTTAGAATGAGATTTGACTTGGCTTTTATTGTTTTTTTTTGGAATAAAGCAAAAATTCAGTTTTTAACTCATTTTACCTTTGCATTTGAAAAGATAATCCATCATAAAAGAGTTGTATACTTGAAATTCAGAAATGTTGAATTTCTGTTTGTTGGGGAAAGGGGGAAGTATTACTTTTTTAACTGTTTTATATGAAGAAAATTAATAAAATATCTCCTGACTTCACAAATCTTAAATGTAATTCTTATCTAATAATAAAGTTCTCAAAGTAACTTGACTCTTTATATATTTTTTAACAGACAATTATAGGAGATTTTCAGAAGGAACAGAAAAAATTTGTTGAGGAACAGCTTACCAAAAAGTCAGGTATGATACATGTTTTTTGTACACGACGTACTTACCTGCCAGATTTTATTGAGCACCTGTTAATGTGCCAGACACCACACTAAGGCTCTGACGATACAAAACTGTGTAAGTAACAGCCCCATCCTTCGGTAGCACAAAGACTAGTCGGGGAGACAAGCTCATAAACCTTTGTGCTTTAAAGGAAGGAAGGATATTGTTCCCTGTGGCTGGGATGGAGGGTGAGACCAGCGGGTGACAACCCCTCTGGGAGCTGGCTCTGAAAGAGAGTGAGCTTTCATTTCTCAGTTTAGAACATGTCCAGCACAATGTGTGATGTACACATAATAGGCACTTAGCAAAAGTTGGCTTCCTTCCCATTCTCTTCGGGAGGAAAAAATGAAAGAGCTTTCCAGCGGAGTGACAGGGGGCTGTGAAAAGTCACGAGGTGTTGTGGGAAATTACTCAATACATTTCTTTTTTCCTTTTTTAAAAAAAGATTTTATTTATTTATTTAGAGAAAGAGCAGGGAGCCCGATGTGGGGCTCGATCCCAGGACCCTGAGATCATGACCTGAGCCGAAGTCAGACGCTTAACATACTGAGCCACCCAGGCACCCCTCAATACATTTCTTTACTGACAAGTGCTCGTTTAAATGTTTGATAGTTATTGGGTCTCAGAATGTCTACTTTTGCTGTTTGGATGTACTCAAACACAAAACTGGCCTCATGTCTTTGAATTTGGCAAAAGGGTGAAATAATTTGATCAGTTTGAGCAGTGCCACAAATTCAAAAAGAGCTAGTTAGTCGTGTGGTGAGTCAGGCATTGTCATGCCTAGGTAAACTCAAAGTATAAAGCAGATCTTTGGGACAAATACTCTGTACAAATTAGCATACCTTCGTGATTCGTGGGAAGCAGTGTGGGAAGCAGTGCAAGTGATCCTGGCTAAGAGACTTGGGGTAGGAGTTGGTTGCAGTCTCTGAGATAGGAACTTGGAGGGAGTAGGGTGAAAGGATTGAAGGTACTCTCAGTTTTGAGGTGCCCAGGTGAGAGGAACATGTACAGAAGCAGGGAAGGGAATGCAGGTGGCATATCAGGAAAATGCCCTTGCTCAGTTGCACTAGTCACATTTCAAGGGCCCAACAGCCGCATGGGAGCTAGCGGCTTCCATATTGGACAATGCAAACCTGGAACATTTCCATCATTGCAGAAAGTTCTTTTGGTCACCACTGGTCTAAATTAACTGAATGGGGTCCAGCAGCAGCAGTTGATTCCTATTTGAAGCATGGAGAATTCCATCTGCCAGTAGAGATTATTAGTCAAGTCATGTAAAAACCATGAGAGTAGGTGACCTCAGTGAAAAGTGTGTCAAACATGAAGAGAGCTGAGCAGAGATATAGTGTTGAGGGGAAGGGAGGAACGGGAGAAATTGACAGTTCCTGAACACCTGCTAAGTGGCGGGTACTTTATGTACAGTATCTTCTTTAGTAAAAGGAAGGATTAGCAAGGTTAAGTGATTTGCTGAAGGTTGCTCAGCTGTTAAGTGATGAAACAAACCTGCCATTTAAAAAACAGACAAACACAAAACTGCCCATTTACCTGAGATAGAACAGTTAGGAGAGAGAAGCAATGGAAGCCCAAAGAGGGGAGAATTTCAAGGAGAGTGAGGTCAGCTGAGAGGTCCATCTACAAGGACCGTGACGAGAGGCCTGGAAAAAAAGTTTTGAAAGGGCTTTACCCGATTTTTTTTAAGTATGAAAATATGTTTAGGGGTGCCTGGGTGGCTCAGTCATTAAGCGCCTGCCTTCGGCTCAGGTCATGATCCCAGGGTCCTGGGATCGAGCCCCGCATCGGGCTCCCTGCTCCGCGGGAAGCCTGCTTCTCCCTCTCCCACTCCCCCTGCTTGTGTTCCCTCTCTCGCTGTGTCTCTCTCTGTCAAATAAATAAATAAATTCTTAAAAAATAAAAAAGAAAATATGTTTATTTTATCTTATAGTTAACAGAATTTGGATTATAATTGCCACATTTGCTTGCCTAGGATGAGCCAAAGAATGAGCCAGGTGTCTGTCTGTCCACATGTCTATCCACACATGCACATAACTTTTCTATCAGCTGGTACACGATAGGATGTCTCTTCCATTGGACTTTTGCAACATGATAGAAAGGGAGGTTGTTTTGGCGAAAATATTAGGACCCCCCTGCATGTCTGTCTTCGTGCTGACCTCCCACCTCCACAGCCTTGGCTCTGCCCTCTTGCCCTGCCCTGGTTCAGATGGTAGAGCTGCTCAGATGAGCAAAATACTCACAGGCTTTGTCTCCACTCTTTCACACTTGCTGCTCCCTCTGAATACCCCCTACACACATCCACCACGAAATTCCTCCTAGACCAAGATCAGCTCCCAGGTCTCCGCAGAAAACCCCTGGGACTCACCTCTCAGTGGTTGCCATTTGTTTTCTGGCATTATAAGCTTGCTTGAGTCGTACTCCTCCTTTTTCTTGTGAGCCCCAAAGACAATGTGTCTTTTGTAGATCCTGGCCCTATTGTTTATTGCTGCTGATTTGCCATTTCTTTCTTCATTTGCTTTCAGTCCTGACAACCCTTTTCTTAGTTCCTAATTGCTTATCACCTTTTGTCATAAATTAAGTACAGTGACATTTTAAAAAGAACTTTTTATTTCAATTTACAGAAATTTGCAAGTATAAAAGGAGTACTGAGAACACCCCCGACACCCTCTACCTAGATTGTTGGTTTTATTCCATCTGCCTTATCCTTTACTCTTTCTCACTCTGTGTGTCTTGTCTTTTCTGTTCCACTCAGTGTGTGTTTCTTAAGAATTAGGTATATTATCTTACACAATCCAGTTATCAGCTTTAGGAAATATAACATTGATATAATGTGCATATTCTAATTTTGTCAATTGACCCAGTAATGTCCTTTGTACATTTTCCCCCTCAATACAGCATGCAGTCTAGGGTACAGTATTGTAGCTTTTGTCATGTATCTTAGCCTCCTTTAATCTGCAACATTTCCGTGGTCTTTGTCTTTTAGGACATTAATGTTTTGGAAGGATACTCCCCCCCCTTTTTTTTTAAGACTTTGTTTATTAGAGAGAGAGCGCACCAGCAGGGGGAGGGGCAGAGGGAGAAGGAGAAGCAGACTCCCCACTGAGCAGGGAGCCCGATGTGGGGCTCTATCCCGGGACTCTGGGATCATGACTTGAGCCAAAGGCAGACACTTAACCGACTGAGCCACCCAGGCGCCCCTCCCCCACTCCTTTTTTTAAATAAACCATTCCTCAGTTGGGCTTTGGCTGATATTTCCTCATGATTAGATTCAGATTATGCATTCTTGGCCAGAATACTACATAGATGATGATGTGACCTCCCCAGGATATCACATCTGGAGGCCTACAGTGGCCATCTCTTTCTCATTAGTGATGATGATTTGGGTCACCTGGTCAAGGTGTTGTCCATTTCTCCACCATATTACTTAAGTAATTTTTTTTTACCAAATGCTTACTTGCTTTAGTCATACATCACGTCTGGGAATTATGATGAATGTTCGTGTTTGGAACTTGTTAGTAAATTGCTAAAATGATTATATGGAAACTTTCTCATTCTTTCAAACCACGGATTGCAATGTAACCCTTGTAAGCTGTTTTTCTCTTTTCTTTGTTATTAAAAACCTTTAGAAGCAGCAGTACCCCCATGGGTTGATAGTAATGATGAAGAAACAATTCAACAACAAATCTTGGCCTTATCAGCTGTAAGTATCTGTGATTCCCTGTGTAGAAATACTTTCTTCCTATTGTGATTTTATCCTTAGTTTTTCTTCTGTACAGTTTTTTAAATGTTTTGAGATGTTAGGACTGTACACATCAACTTTCACTGTTTTTTCCCCCTAAGTCTCCCCCCTCCAGTTTTAACCTGCTTCTCTTTAAGTTCTTTTTTATTAATGGTAAAGTATAATCTATTACACAAAATAATTCTTTCAGCCTTAAAAGGATTCTTTTGTTACTAAGATAATCTTTGAGATATGCTATCATATAAATTTTGTAGATAGCATTCTAGTTTGTCTGAATGAAAAGATGGTATTCTAAATTTTCTCTTTAACTGTTATATATATTTGAAACTGAAATTTAAAAAAATATAAAATATTCTGTGCTGGCCCACAAAAATTTCTCTCAAGACTTCAGAGGGAACGCAGTGATACCAGTTAACAATTGTGTAGCACCTGACAGTTTCAGAAAGAACTTTCTTACGCATTATCTCCTTTGAGCTTCATGCACATCTGTGAGGTAGATAGGAGCTTTTATCGCCATATACAGGCGTGAGGATGTGACTCCCAGATGTGACCCTCACTACTTAACATGTGTTTCCACTGGGCTGTGCATTCTTAGCGGGCAGAAACTGGCTTTGATCTCTGTCCTTAGCACCCAGGAGTCTGCCTGGCATAGGACTCAGCAAATAGGGCTTTTACTGAATCAGTGGCTTTCAAGCTTTGTTTTTAATCCACTCTTTTTTTTAGCCAAAGTCATAAATGGAACTTCAGCCTAGGAAACAGACAGAGAACTGGGCTCTTTACTTCCCTTCCATTGCCCTCCCTCAGGACATTTTAAGGTTTTTTCTTTTCCATTAGTAATTCCTTCAAAGGCCTAAGCATCCATTATGAGTTCAGTGTGAACCCCATGTATTTTGTTTACTGTGTTATGGCCAAACTTGATGCTGATGTCACATAATGCTCTTCTCCAGAAGCAAATTGGGACAGTGAGACTATCATTTGAGGGCAAATATCAGATACTCACCAGTCAAGTCCCCACAGCTCCTCTGTCCCCCAGACCTGTTCCTGTCCTCATCTTCTCCATCTCAAAATAAGATTCCAGTTATCCACCAGTTTTTTTCTAGTCACCAGCCTAGGAGTCTTCCTTCAGTCACACCCGCCCCCACCTGGGCCCACCCATATCCTGACAATGCTGTGTTCAAATACACCTCTACTCCACTTCTCCACTGCCACCACCATGGTCCTGATGCCCTCATCTGCCTCCAGCATCCCAGCTGCTGTCCCATCCTTGGCCCTTTCCCTACAAGCTCACATCAGTAGCCGCAGGGGTCCAGTTATGGTATAAATCCCTTCGTGTCACTTTCCTACATAGAGCCTTCTAATGGCATCTCATCTCCTGCAGGTAAAGATCTAAACTCCCTCTCCTGGCTTCTAAGGCCCTTGGCTTGGCTCTCTTCCCTTGGGCCCCACTGCCCTGCCTCCCAGCACTCCAGCCACTGTTTCTTTCTGATGAACAAGCAAGCCGAGCTTTGTCCTGCTTTAGTGCCTTGTGATTGCTATCCCCTCTTCCTGGAACCCCAGCCTACACCATTCCATAAGATCGCATCTCAAATGTCACCTCCTCCCTAACCATCCTTTCAGCCCTCCACCAGTTACCCCATCTCATAGCCTTAGCAATCTAAGCCTGTGTCTGTCTCTTCCCACGCTCCCACCCCATAACTGGAATAGGAACGCCGTGAAGGCTGGGACCCCATCTGTGCTGTGCCCTGCTGAGCAGGTGACACAGTGCCTGGAGCATAACAGGTGCTGACTGGGTGATGCACACACACGCCTACAAGAGAGCACCGCTGATTTTAGCGTGGCACAGAGGCTTTGAATGAACTTCAGTACATCCTTTATAGTGGCTCCTGAATTTGTTAAGATAGACTAAATTGCTATAATAGAGAAATCCCAAAATACAGAAGGTTAAATAAGCTGTGACTCTGTTTCCCTCCGTCCTTCTCCCTCACATGAGAGTCCAGAGGTAGATGGTCCACGTAGGTGTGCTTTGCCCGTGAAGTCATCTACAGACCCAAGTATTTCCTGTCTTAATCCTTTCCTATGCCAGCCTCTAGGGTGTTATCTGCCTTCTCTGTGCGGAAGGCAGCTCCTGTGACCATGGCTGTGTTCCAGCCCATGGGAATTGGGGAAGAGGTGGGTGGGCATGCCAGACTGTTTGAAAGATGAGACTCAGAAATTGTACCTATCACTCAGGCCTACATCCCTTTGGCAACCTGGATGCATGGTCACTCCTAGATGCCAGGGAGCCTGGGAAATCCGGTCTCTGGCTGGGTGGCCACATGCCCAGCAGGAGCTCAAGAGTTTTGTGATCCTTTTTTTTTTTTTTTTTTTTTTAAGATTTTATTTATGTATTTGACAGAGGGAAACACAGTGAGAGAGGGAACACAGCAGGGGGAGTGGGAGAGGGAGAAGCAGGCTTCCCACGGAGCAGAGAGCCCGATGCGGGGCTCGATCCCAGGACCCTGGGATCATGACCTGAGCCGAAGGCAGACGCTTAACGACTGAGCCACCCAGGTGCCCCCTAAGAGTTGTGATCCTAAAAGGAAGGAAGGGATACTGGGAGATAATTAGCAGTCTCTGCCAGAGTTGCCTTACATTCTCTGACTTGCCAAGCACTAGTTGGGACAATTCAGAGCCTGCAGCAGAGTAACCCTTTAAGCTCCTTATGTTGGGGCACCCCTTATGGCATAATGCTGTCATTAGGTAGTTATGAGAACTCAATTCAGCAAATTGTGTTTAGAACCTCCTCTGGGCCAACCTTGTCCTAGGACTGGAAGTAGATGAGACATGCCTTCCAAGAGCCTGAAGGCTTACTGGACATCTGCTAGATGAGTACACACAGCGTCACTCCCTGTGATTAGCACTGTAATGCAGGATGGTAACGAAGCACTGAGGAGAGGGGCATCTCACTGGTTTTGGAGAGGGGAGGGAATGATCTCAGGGAAGCTTCCCAGAACTGATGACATTGGAACTGTTATTGAATCTTGGGAGGAGGGTGTGTGGATGTTTGGCGGATGCAGGGCAGGGTTTGAGGTTCAGATAGGGAGTGTTGTAAGCATTTGGGTATGACTGGACTGTAGGATGCAGGTGGAGGTGTGGATAGGAAGCCAGGTCATGAAGACCTTTTTATACCTTTCTGATAAGTTTGGGTTTCATCTTAAAGGCAACAAAGGAGTCCCTGAAGGATTTTAGTGGTAGGTAAAACACATGTTTTTCTTGGGCAGGGTAGAAAGTGGGTTGCTCTGGGTAAGAAAAATGGGACTGGAGACAGCTACCCCTTCAGCGGCTGCTATAGCGATCCAGGTGAAACTTGATGGGGCAGTTTTAGGCTTTGCAATTTTTAGGCTAGAAGGTAAAATAACTAAAATCCATTTAGGTTCAGATTTGTTCTTGCCTTAATGTAGGAATTCTCCAAAACCAAAAATACTGTTAAAATCTAACACGGGCAAGATGAGGTGAAACTGACCGGTGCTGTTAGTAGCCAGCTTCTAAGATTTAAGTAGCCAATTTTCTAAGATTATTCTACACTAGTTTTCGTATACCCAAAGGTGCTCACGGAAACAAACGTGTTCATACAGTTTCAAACTCTAACTTCAACTAATTGCACGACTGAATTTCCTGGCTTCCCATGAGGCTCTCTTCAGTTGAGACTGTTAAATATATGACAGGATCAGTCATTCTCCACTCTCTTAAGTAGACAGGTTAGTAGATTCCTCAATGGACTTTGTGGCTGAAATCTTTAGAATTCAGTATCTGTCAAATCAGTGATGCATTGTTACATATTAATTGCATCCTATGGTTTCCCCCATGTTTTTCCCCTTTTCATCGAAGGACAAGAGGAATTTCCTTCGTGACCCTCCAGCTGGAGTGCAGTTTAATTTTGACTTTGACCAGATGTATCCCGTCGCCCTGGTCATGCTTCAAGAGGACGAGCTGCTGAGTAGGATGAGATTCGCCCTTGTTCCTAAACTGTAAGCAGTGTGTTCCTGAGCCGGAGTAGCACTGTGCACAGTATCAGGGAAAAGTTGTGGAATGGTTTCCTACTCTCTCTCCATGAGAACAGGCTCTGTGGCCCTTTAGCTCGCTCACTCGCTCACTTGCTGTCTCTCTGTCTCTCTGTCTCTCTCTCTCTCTCACACACACACACAGAGCCATAGAATCAAAACTGAGAGTGGACTTCACAGGAAATTTAGGGGGAGATAAGATACACTCTTTTATCCCCAGCCCCCAGTTAGAAGCTAGAACATAGTTTCCTACAGAAACAACCAAAGTGCTTGTGTCTTCCAAATAAAATCAAGGTCTCCAAGGCTCATCAGGACCTGGCCCACTGCCTTTTTCCACTCAGGCTCTGCTCCCTGGCAGCAGTGTTCTCGTTCTCTTTCCCACCCGAGGTTTTTCTTCTGCCCAAAGGCCCTCTTTTCCTCCGAAAGTCCCTGCTTGTCCTTTGAGCTCCAGTGCAAGCATAATGTCTTCAGGGATACAACCCTGACAGGTATCATCAGGGCCCCCCCCCCCAGAGGATCCCCTTCCCATCCCCTCTGCCACCATGGGCTCTTACCTTTTATTTTTTTTTTAAAGATTTTATTTTTTTGACAGAGAGAGGGACAGCTAGAGAGGGAACACAAGCAGGGGGAGTGGGAGAGGGAGAAGCAAGCCTCCCGCTGAGCAGGGAGCCCGATGCGGGGCTCGATCCCAGGACCCTGGGATCATGACCTGAGCCGAAGGCAGACGCTTAACGACTGAGCCACCCAGGCACCCCTCTTACTCACCTTTTAAATTCCAATTCCTTGTTTTTAATCTGCTGCATTTTTGGTCCACAAGTCCTCTCTGAGTGTTCCTTTTTTATAGTACTCTATTCTTTTTATTTTTTTAATTTTTTAAAAGATTTTTTTTTATTTATTTAGCGAGCACGAGCAGGGGGTGGGGCTCAGTGAGGGGGAAGAGAGAAAATCCCAAGCCGACTCCATGCTGAGCAGGGAGTCTGACACAGGGCTCGATCCCATGACCCTGAGATCACAGCCCGAGCCCAAATCAAGACTCCGCTGCTCAACCGACTGAGCCACCCTGGTGCCCCAGCACCCTCTTCTTTTTAGATGGGTGCAGTATCTTCCTGTTCTTGAGAACATGAACTATAGTTTTCTTGAAATACTCTTTTGTCCCAGTGCTTTTCTCTGAACCTTTGTGTTTGTCTTGGGCGCTGTCATTCATGGTGCGGGTTTTCCTTGCCCATCCTTCGAATCTGAAGGCACCACGCTGAAGGAGCACTTCGAGCTGTGTGTCCGTGCGGGCCTTTTGGACAGGGAGGCTCAGTGGCCAAGGGCTGGGTGGCTTCCTGAGAGGAGGACTCCCGCCTGAGCCCGAGTGTGGAGTGGCTTGGCTTGGAGTGGACTGTCGCTCCCCGCTGCATGGGAGCGCAGGCCCTGGCTGGCAGGGGCAGCGCAGGAGTCACGGCAGCAGGCCGCTCCTGGGGGGCCTTGCCACCACTGCTCCTGTCCTGAGCCCAGCCTGCACCAGCCTTCAGAGACGCCTGCTGCCTCATGTCCCTGGGTCTTTGTGAGCAGATGCCCGGCGGACAGGCCTGTTCTCACGGCCTGTCCCCTCCTGCGTGCAGCTCGATGCAGCGCTCGCTGGTCTGCAGGGTAGATTGCGCTTTGCCCGTCACCTTTCCAGCTTCTACTGTGGTTTTCTCACCAGCTCTCTTTGTCATGTGGATTTTATCTACTGAATGCCTTTTCTGTTAGTTTACAAGTGTTTTCAGAGGGAGCACAAATAAATACGTGTTCATTGTGCTATGTTTAGCTGGCCAAAGAGGGTTTTGTTTTGTTTTGTTGTTAAGATTTTATTTATTTATTTGACAGAGAGAGAGAGAACACAAGTAGGCAAAGCGGCAGGCAGAGGCAAGGGGAAAAGCAGACTCCCCACTGAGCAGGGAGCCCGATGCGGGGCTCGATCCCAGGACCCTGGGACCATGACCTGAGCCGAAGGCAGACGCTTAACCGACTGAGCCACCCAGGCGCCCCCAAACAGGAGTTTTAACATATATTTGCTAGCCCTTTGGTTCACATGGAAGCCAAGTTCTTCTGTTTGTGAGAGAAGAACAAGTGTTCTTGCGGACTTGGAACAGCAGTTATATCGAACCTTTCACTTACGTTTACTTTGTAGTGAAACTCTTCATAATTATCAATGTGTTGGTGGTGAATTTTTGTAGCCTTCCCCTCCCTTTCTAAAAAGAAGAGTATGTGTTACATGGCTAAAATCTCATTACAAATCTAATTCTTAGATTGTGTTTAAAGTAGCTAGTTTTGGGGCACCTGGCTGGCATGACTCTTGATCTCAGAGTCATGAGTTCGAGCCCCACATTGGGGGTAGAGATTAAACTAAATAAATAAAGTAGCTGTTATTAGTGAAGGATATCAGAAAATTGTTATCTGATCTATTCTTTACTATTTTGCTCACAAAACCCTGAGAGTTGCCTTTTGAACAGTTCATGTGTATATATATCTGTTGGGCACTCTTTCATCTCAGAATCTGAGGTTATACCTATTCTGAATAACTGCCTCCTCCTGAGAGAAACGTAGCAAAGCTCTGGAATTCAGGTGGACTCTGCACCTAAAGTCTCCATCAACTTGGAGACCATTTGGATCACCACGGGCCACACGGTGGGCTCCCTGCCAGCACTCTGGGGGACTGTCCAGAGGCCCGGGGGTGCTGGAGTGTGTGGCCTGGGGTACTCACAGCAGGCATGTAGCCAGCTTTGGTTCCATAGCTTTGCTTGTTGACAATTCTGGACTCCCTCTTACTGCTGAGAGTAATTTTAGAGTGTTTAAAGGATTTGGAGAGTTGGTATTTGGCAAAGAGTATTTCTGGTTTGTTGCTGGCTAGGTAAATGGTCTATTGAGTAATATAATTCCAGTTTCCTATTGTTAATTCTGTTAGGGATGATTTTAGAAATTAGGGTTACCACTTTTTATAAGTCTTTATCTGTTAGAAATGCATACTGAAATATTTGTGAATGAAAGGCTGTAATATCTAGCATTGCCATAAAATATTCCATCCCACACCCAGAGAAAGGCATGCGTGCAGGGGAGAGGAGCATAGATAAAACATGATTGGCAAAATACTGGTGATTGTTGGCTAGGTCCCGGGTACATCGGGGCTTCTTTGTCCTAGTCGCTCCACTTTTGTTTTTGTTGAAACTTCCATAATAAAACAAATGAGCCATCATCACACACAAATCCAGGACTTCTGGACTTCCCTTTCTGGCATGCAGAAGTGCAACTTTGATGATTTGAGACGCTTTTTGTAAACAGAAGCCATCATTAGCCAGGAACAATTTAGAAAATCAATCAAAACAAACACTTGCTCTGTATTTCAAAATACCTTCTAGTGGTGAACACTTCCCTGCAACAGCAGTGCTGGCATGAGCCAGGACTCTTGCATCACGAACACCCCCTGAGGCCTTCACTCTGACAACAGTAGAAAAATCGCAAGTCCCTTCCAGCCTGGAACTGACCTATGCCCATTGTTTCTCAGAGGGTGTTCACAGCATTCTAATGCCTTAAAATAGTCCATGAAAGCATAAGTGGTAAGATAGACATTTGGGAGTTGCTATGTTTCATGGTTTTCTTTATCATAGGGCTTCTCAGAATCTTTTTTTTTTTTTTTAAGATTTTATTTATTAGAGAGAGTGTGCACGAGCAGGGGAGAGGGGCAGAGGGAGAGGGAGAAGCAGACTCCCCACTGAGCAGGGAGCGCGATGCGGGGCTCCATCCCAGGACCCTGAGATCATGACCTGAGCCGAAGGCAGGCACTTAAGCTGACTGAGCCACCCAGGTGCCCCTCTCAGAATCTTTATTATGTCATGAGCATTGTGATTCTGTCCAGAGTGTAAAAGAATATTTCTCTAGTGTGCCTCTGTGACCACTTTCTCTTACATCAAGAGGGAGAGACTCTGGGAAAGGAAATAGTCCAGATGTTTGTTTCTATTAAGAGAGCAAACATTGCCCATAATCTGCTATAGATTGGTGGTACACCTGTTTCATTTTGGTTATTTCATAGAGCTCAGAATTAAGTGACTTTGAAAACATTCAGGCAGCTCACTACCTCATGGGAAGTTAAGCTCACTTCTAACTGTGATGTTAACAGTGTAAGATTCTTGAACTTAGCCAGGTAAAGAGCCCCAGTTCTTTTTTTTTGTTCCCTGGGGTATCTTCATCTCTATACCCCCTCACCATCCAGGTGCTTAACCTCCAAAAGTGAGTTCTCCGAAGTGAATATAAAGTGTTGTCTAATTACAGAAGAGCACACTACAGATATTTATTGTATTGCTTTTTAAAGATTTATTTATTTTACTTATTGACAGGGTTGGGGGTGGAGAATCCTGAAGCAGCCTCCCTGCTGAGCGGGGAGCCTGACACAGGGCTGGATCCCGTGACCCCGAGATCATGACCTGAGCTGAAACCAAAAGTCAGCCACTTAACCGACTGAGCCACCCAGGTGCTCCTTGTGTTGCTTTTTAATGCTGCCTAAGATTTTGTTAGCTTTTCTAGTGGCCGCAGCATAGTCTTGTTTGCTCAGGTAAACTTGTGGTTGACTGTAATACGTCACGAACTGCTGTTAAGCCAGGCCTCCCTCCTGCTGAACTATTTCCAAGAGATGTTACAAAGAAAAGAGAATCGTGAGACCACATGAGTTTGGGAAATGCTACTTTGTCATTTACTTGGCATAGTAAGAATTTAACAAGTAAGAGGTCATTATTCCTGTGACCATCTGTGTTGGCAGATAACTTGGTTTATTCGTCCCTGAATCACCTGGATAGGGCCTGATGCATGTGGCACTCGGTAAATATTGGTGGAATTAATGAAAGAAAAGATGGGCTGCATCTAGCAGCATGTCATCTTGTTACCTAGCCTAGCCTGTGTAGATAATCTTGTATTTTGCCTCTGTTGCTTAAAAAAGCCAGCCTCTGTTGGGGCACTTAGGTGGTTCAGTTGGTTAAGCGTCCGTCTCTTGATTTTGGCTCAGGTCATGATCTCAGGGTCATGATCTCAGGGTTGTAAGATTGAGTCCCACATTGGGCTCCACGGTGGGTGTGAAACCTGCTTAAGATTCTCTCTCCCTCCCCCACTCCCTCTCTTAAAAAAGAAAAGAAAAAGGCTAGCCTCTGTCACTCAAAAAGCTAGTCTGCTGGCCCAGCTTCACCATTCACAGATGTGACAACTATGTGTTCTTATGTCTTACCTAAGGCAAGTACCGTCTTCATCCATAAGCCTGCATCTCAGAATTTTCTCTTAGTTCTCATTGATTTTCTTCTACTCCTTCAAAATCTTTTTCAGTCATGCTATCTTCCTCAAGTTTCTCACCATTCTAAGACCCTGCATCCCTTCAAGTAAACCAGGGGGTAGAGAGGCATTCTGCTACCCTTTTGTCACTTCTACTAGCAAAATGTTTTGGGAACACAAAATGAGTGACTCCTGCAGGCAAAAAAAAAGCCCTGCACATACTGCACAGGTCACCAAAGAGACGCAGAGAGATGCAGAGAGAGAGGGAACACAAGCAGGGGGAGTGGGAGAGGGAGAAGCAGGCTTCCCGGGGAGCAAGGAGCCCGATGCGGGGCTCAATCCCAGGGCCCTGGGACCATGACCCAAGCCAAAGGCAGACGCTTAATGACTGAGCCACCCAGGCACCCCAGGGGTGAATATTTTAATGTTTTTTGAGTTTTGTTTTGCCTTCCACCCTCAAGATTTTATTTAATTGCTCTGAGGTAAGCATAGTCATCAATGTGGTTTTTTACTTTTAAACAATCACACCTTTATATAGAAAGGTTGGAGGTATCGCATAAAAACTTCTCTTTCCACTCATTTGAGACCTGATGCTCCATCAGTCCTGACTGCTTTAGTGTGTATTTCCTACAAACAAGGCTTTTCCTACATAACCATCCAAATCAGGAAACGGTCATTTATGCGTTATTGCCATCTGATTCTCAGACCCCATTCAAGTTTTATCATTTGTCCCAATGTCCTCTTTAGCAAAAGGATCCAATACAGACTCACATGTTGCATTTAGTTTTCATGTCTCGTCAGTCTCCTTCAGTCTGTTGCATCCTGTCAGGTGGTACACACTGCCATTTTGTCCCGTTACTGTCCACACTTTGGTCACTTCACTTGATGAAGGTGGTTTCTGCCAGACTTCTTGCTGTAAAGTTACTTCTTTCCTCTTTGAAATTAGTATTTTCTGGAGAGGTACTTTGTAAAAATATTCCATTCCTTATCAGACTCTGAACATATTCATGTATTTATTTGTATCGGTATAGACTCATGGTTCTGTTTTATGCAATGGTTATAATCCATTGCTATCGTTACGTACTTTGATGCTCAAAATATCACCAACTTGGCCAGTGGGAGCCCATTCCAAGTTGGCTTCTGTGTCTTTTTGACTCATTCTCATCATTCTTTAAGTGCTTCCTTGCTTTCTGGTATGGGGTAGTCCAGGCTCATCTTGTCCTCTCCTTTGTAACCCTGGAATTGGCTACTTACCCAAAGAGATCTGGTTCATTTTAGTGGAAAATGGTGTACAGACACCAAGATCTGAGCACTAGTCATGTTTATTGCTATTGGGGTATCACTACTCCTTGGTCCGCTCAGCAGACAGAGCTAGGGAATATTTGTGTGCTCGTGTATATACACATACACTCATTTGCATCTGTATTGGATGAAAACCATGTATTCATGGTGCTACCTCACCACACGGATCATTCTAGAATTTTCCCTTTCAATGTTTGTAACTCCCTTCTCTGACCATGAGAAACTTGGTTTGCACTGTCCTTAATATTTCTATTTAATTGATCAACCCCCTGCGTGTAACCAGTCTTCCATTTTTGCCAGCACCCCCTCCCCTGCTCAGACACCCTCCTCTCCCAGCTCAGGCTGTCATTCATTCCAGGCCACCCCCATGTGGACACTCACCTTACCCAGCTTGGTCACCAGCACCCCCTGCTAGGTGATTCTCATATGCAGACAAGTTTGAGGACCACTGAGGGTTCTCAGCTTGGACTGCACTTTAGTCTTCTTATCAGTCATCTCCCACGTCCCTGCTAACTCTTACTGATTGCTAGTTATTTGCATGCTGCCAGACATTTCCTTTCGTAAGGAACAACACCCACAGTCCTTTTCTTGTCACTGCTTGAAAGCTCTTAATTATTCGGTAAACAGCAAATACAGTGCAGTCCTGGCTGCGTTTGCAGCCTCCCGGGTTGGTGTGCCGGTCTCACAACAGTGCCTCTTTCCTCTGCTGAGGGCAGTGTTGGTGTCATTAAAATACCAAGAAATGCAGAGGTTTCATTGGTGTTCTGTAAGTTGTCTTTTGCTGCTATAGAGAAAATAGCTATTATTTTTGTCCTGTCCCGCAGCTTCCAGTTCAAAAGCAAGTGAGAGTCTCCTTTGAGCCTCACTCAGATTTGAAAATACCCCTAAAAAAATCATCTCTTCCCGCCTCCACTAAAACAAATAACCCCCCGCATGCATGTGTGTGTGTTGCATGCATTCTCAAGTGTGTTGTTGTCTGTCCTGAAAAGCGTGAAGGAAGACGTGTTTTGGAGGAACTACTTTTACCGCGTCTCCCTGATTAAGCAGTCAGCCCAGCTCACAGCCCTGGCCGCCCAGCAGCAGGCCTCCGGGAAGGAGGAGAAGAGCCATGGCACTGAGGAGGACCTGCCACTGGCAGGTATGTTCAGAGAAGATTTCACTGTGTGTAAAAAAAAAAAAAAAAAGAGTTACTTTAAAAATATTCTTATAGACTCTCATGAGTTTGTCATCTTTTATGTACCAAAAATGTCACTGTCATCTTCTGGAAAACTCTTTCCTTTCCAGAGGAATATTCATTCTCATTGCCCTCTCTCTGACCCTGCTCACACATCTTCCCCAAGCTTTGCTCTCCTTTGCTTTCTTTTTCTCGTTCTTCATGGTTTTTACTTCCTTTTTATTTCTCCCTCGGTCACTAGTCATTTTCCCATCTCTTTACTTGCCCTTTACAATTTTATACCTTCTTTCCTTTACCAATTCAGTCCACCGCTTTTCTTTGTTTCTCTGCCTTCCATTCAAGCCGATGCTCCCCTAGTACTCTGTAGAGCAGAACTGAGCTCCATTCCACTCCAAGTTACCAGTGTCTAGCCCAGACCTAGGCACCATTATGGTGCACGTTGGACTCTTACTGTGACAGTTGACCCCTGGTTGTTGGGGAAGTGTTTTATAATACCAGCAACAATTTAAGATTCTGTAATAGTAATTAAAATCAGAAAGGTATTAAAAAAATAAGAAGAAAGGTATTTTGTGTCATATTTTTAACGTTTCATGAACACCTGTGTGCAGGTACTGATTACAACTAGAGACTTAACCTGTTCGTGGAATTTTAAATAATTATGCATCATGTATCCTAAGGCACAGGTTGTACAGACCACCAGAAGAGAACCTGACACTGCATTTAGGGTCAGGGAAATGTAAAGAAGTTGCTCTACACAGTAAAAATTGGCATTTTGCATATAGATGTTAAAAAGAATCCCAATTGTCTATTATTCTTTACTATTTGTTTTCATTTATTTTATTAGAAAATGCCGTTTTACCAAATACTGCCTGTATTACAAAATGGGCTTAAGACAGGATTCAGTAAAGACTACACACCTAGGTTCATAAGAAAGAAAATGCGGCCCAGGAGAAAGAGGGGAAGCTGTGACTGAGCATTGCACTTTGCTTTGTGCTTCCTAGCATTCGTGACAAATGGAAAATTTGATAAATAACTGAATTCTCAGTATCCTAAAAGAAGGAGCAGATCTATTCCTGAATTTGATTTCGGCTAACACTAAGGTCAGAATTTATTTCCTGCTTGGAAATTTTATATGAAGGGCATCAAATATGATGACATAAAAAAAAAAAAAATTCCCAGAAGAAGTTGAAATGGTCTCACCTAGCTATATCTTGAAAGCATAACATAAAAGCTCATTTCTGAAAATTATTTAGTATCATCGTACTTGTGGATATTTTAGTTGTTACTATAATGTGTATTCAGAATTGAATCAAGCAATTTTTGTCTCTTTTATTCTCACTTCTTAGAGGCAGTACGGCCCAAAACACCACCTGTCGTAATCAAATCTCAGCTTAAAACTCAAGAGGTAATACAGTTTTACATTGTACCTAGTAGTTGATGTCTGGAAATGAAGTAACTCTGTGTTAACTATCTCAGATCCCATTTGAAACTGCTTATGAATATGGGTCTTACCTGTTTTGAAGAAGAGGGGTCCACCACTTGCACAGTTAGGGACCTGTAGCAGAGACATGAGGCGATTCCCTGGCATCAGTCATCTTAGATGTGCTCCCGGGAATTAGACTGAATGACTGGAGTGACCCAAACTGTGAGAGAGCATAGTGGATTCAGGTGGTAGCTCATCTGGTTCCCAAGCAGCCGCACAGGGTAGAAGGCTGAAGAGCAGTGAGCATCTGACTAGCAGAGGAAGGAGACGAAAGGGACGCTTTTTCTAATGCCACTTAGAAAACCATTCCCAGAGCTCCTTTGTTGCATTTCAGGATGAAGAGGAGATTTCGACCAGCCCAGGGGTTTCTGAGTTTGTCAGTGATGCCTTTGATGCCTGTAACTTAAATCAGGAGGATCTGAGGAAGGAAATGGAGCAACTGGTTCTTGACAAAAAGGAGGAGGAGACAGCCATTCTAGAAGGTACCAGACAAACAAAATAGCTGTGCTCTTTTCCGATTCTGAAGTTGATTATAGAAAATGTCATTCTGAAGCAGACATACAAACATACTGTAACTTTTGTGTCAGAATCGCTTCTCTGTTCCCCATTAGAAGGTAGATTCTAGCACACATGACCAGACCTTACATCCCTCTGCCTTAAGCATGCACAGGAGTGTAGAGAGGAGAAACAGCCCAGAGAGGATAAGTGATTGGTCCAAGGCACCTCAGCCCCAAGAACATGTGGCCAACAACAGGCAACAAAGAGTGCACACCCTTTCACTTAGAGACACCATCCTCCAGCCTTCTACTTGGGTTTATACTTTTTTTTTTTTTTAAGATTTTTATTTATTTATTTATTTGAGAGAGAGAGAATGAGAGAGAGCACATGAGAGGGGGGAGGGTCAGAGGGAGAAGCAGACTCCCCGCCGAGCAGGGAGCCCGATGCGGGACTCGATCCAGGGACTCCAGGATCATGACCTGAGCCGAAGGCAGTCGCTCAACCAACTGAGCTACCTAGGCGCCCCTACTTTTTTTTTTTTTTAAGATTTTATTATTTGAGAGAGAGAGCAGGCATGTGCCCATGAGCAGGGAGAAGGGCAGAGGGAGAAGCAGGCTCCCCGATGAGTAGGAAGCCCGACATGGGGCTTGATTCCAGGACCCTGAGGTCATGATCTGAGTCAAAGGCAGACGCTTAACCGACTGAGCCATCCAGGAGCCCCTCGGCTTTATACTTCTATGTAGAAGATTCTTTTTCCTGCTGCTGTGTGCCACAAGAGCATTGCTTATGGGAAGGAGCATGCTGCCTTTAAAAAAATAATAATTTAGAGACAAATACAAGTGGGGTTGGGGTCGGCTGCTTTCTTTGGCACATCAGGACAAATGACTGGCTTTCTACTGGATGAAAAGCAAAGGCTCGGGTTAATCATCATCAAATGAAGAGTGTTTCGTGAAGCCTTCTGAGACCCCTCCCACCCCCATCTGTTTCTCATGCAGGTGGCTGCTGGCCACTGCGGAAGGGCACTGGGCAAGAGCCCCGGGTGTTGGAGGCGATAGCTAGAGCAGACTGTGCGCTGGTTCCCTTTTTGCTGGTGATGACTAGTAGCACGGGCCCCACAGGAAACTGGAAGTGGCCCTGAGGCAGGAGTCATAAGGTGCTGGCTGGATGCTCTGGGCAAGCTGTTCTTTCATTGAATTCCTGCCCGAGTTATAATTTAGACCACATAATATTCTTTTATATATTCATTGTCTTGGCCCCCCAGCTAAAGTGTAAGTTCCTCAAGGGCAGTTACACCTTGTTTTTGTTACCCCACAGTACCTGACATGGGGTCTGGCACCCAGCCCCTAATAAATATTTGTGACATTGGTGGTTTGCCATGCAACACACCGTGTCCTTTCCCTTGAGTCTAAGTTTACTACTAAGTTTAAGGTATGTATGTATTTATTTATTTTTAAAGATTTTATTTATTTATTTGTCAGAGAAGGAGCGCAAGCAGAGGGAGCAGCAGTCAGAGCAGGCAGAGGGAGAAGCAGACTCCCTGCTGAGCAGGGAGCCCGACGTGGGACTCGATCCCAGGACCCTGGGATCATGACCTACGCCGAAGGCAGACACTTAATGACTGAGCCACCCAGGCGTCCCAAGGTTTGTTTTTAACCAACTGAGCCACCCAGGCGCCCCCCAAGGTTTGTTTTTAAAAGAAGAAAATAGAAGGATGCCTGGGTGGCTCAGTCGTTAAGCATCTGTCTTCGGCTCAGGTCATGATCCCAGGGTCCTGGGATCAAGTCCCGTATCAGGCTCCCTGCTCAGCAGGAAGTCTCTTCTCCCTCTGCCTGCCGCATCCCCTGCTTGTGCTCTCTCTCATAAATAAATAAAATCTTTAAAAAAAAAAAAAGAAGAAGAAGAAGAAGAAAATGGAGGCGCCTGCTGGCTCATTCAGTGGAGTATGTGACTCTTGATCTCAAGGTTGTGAGTTCGAGCCCCACATTGGGCATAGAGATTACTTAAAATCTTAAAAAAAAAAAAAAAAGATGAAAATAAATTTTAGCTTTATTTTTTAAATAGCTGGTTTGTTGTTTTCTATTTCATAACACCACATAACAGTTGTCTTATCGTCTACATACATATATGTACACATACACATCACACACTCACACACACACACACACACACACACACACACATTGAGGTTCTAAGTGGAAAGTTGCAGTTCTGAATCAGCACAGAAGAGGAACATGAGAGCTTAGATGGAGCCCAGTGTGAGGGGCCAGGCTTCATCAAGAGACCTCCTGACTTCAGGTTCTGGTATCCATTGCCATTCTAGGAAAACTACTGCTAAAGTGCTTACGCACAGACTGTGAAGCTTGCAGATCTGGCTCCATCTGGATGCCTGGTGCTATCAAGCTTTGTGTTCTTGGGCAAGTCACTTAACCTCTCTAAGCCTCTGTTTTCCATCCTAAAAAATGTGCAGCAGTGTATCTAGTCCCTGGATTGTTCTAAGGATGGAAAAAAAGGGGGGCAGGGGAGTGATATGTAGAAAGAAGTTAGCACAGTCCCAGCTCAGTGATTGCTCAAGAAATGTTAGCTGTTTTTTTCTACCGCTGTCATCCTTAATAGTGGTAAAAATTAATTTGCAACCAAATATTAATTATCAACTATCCATTTAAATACAAGGAAAAGCAGAGGTTTTAGAAAGCAAAATAACACGCAAACATATAGCACTTAACCGATTTATCTTTCTAATCATATTTCCCTTCGGTTACTGTTAAAATTTGGTCAGTTTTTCTGAGCACACATGGCGGGGAAGCTCGAGATGTTAAAAGTTACCATGGCTAGGACTTCCACAGGGAATTATACTTGACCGAGTTGTTAAAACCAGCATTGTGAATTCAGAGAGAATCTTTTCCTTCTCATTTGTTTCTTTCAGAAGATTCTGCAGATTGGGAAAAAGAACTACAACAGGAACTTCAGGAATATGAAGTGGTGACAGAATCAGAGAAACGAGATGAAAACTGGGATAAGGAAATAGAGAAAATGCTGCAGGAGGAAAATTAGCTCTTTCCTGAAATAAAAGAATAATGCTTAACATTCTGTAACTGACATTAAATTCTAGATGACGACACTCGCTGAATCAGAATGCAAAAAAGATTGGTATAACTACGAAATTCAAGATTATTCTTTTTTCAAGCTGAAATTTGCCTTTTTTGCATTTATAAAAAGTATATAGAACAGTTATTCTAATAATCAAAAAGGGATGTTTTATGTAATATTTCTTTAATATAAATCTAGAGATATTCATGTAGTTACTATGGATATCTTTGCCACAGAAATGCAAGTAAAATTTTAGAGTTCTGTTTTCCATGAGGTCAGAATTATAATTTATTCTTCAATTGTTTTTTCCTAAACATTTGTACTTCTTGTTGCATTTTCACTGATACATGTATTTGTTGAAGTACTTACGTAACGGATTGATAACTATCAAAATGACCAAATTGTACCAAAGAACTTAAGAAGAAGCACTTTCAAGACTATTTTCTTGGTAGGTATTTTCTAAAATTCCCTCTAGAAGCCAAAAGGTAAGATAATTATGTTGATTTTCATAGTGTAAACATCACACAGTTTGACATTGAGAAATACTGTGCAGAAACATTTGTTTTTTTCTGGGGCCTTTTCTTTCTTGTGTTGTTGTTTGTTTCTTTGTTTTTTTAACTATACCACGTTTAGTATCGTTGCTTTCCTAAATTCCACATCACAGTTTTTGTAGAAAGCAGGGTCTTTTGTCCTTTTTATATTAATGACCTTCATAAGCCCATTCACCTTACAGTCTCTTGTTTTTGTTTAAATCATCATCACATATAAATGTTTCAGTTTCGTTTGTTTGTCTTAGTTAAACTGTCGGTCCTTATAAAATTGTGTTCCTCTAAGTACAACTTGTGGAACTTCACTGCTCAATCCTGCTTGTATTCTGCTACACCAGCAGGCCCATGCTCATAGAATATGGTTTTTTTTTTTTTTAAAGATTTTATTTATTTATTTGACAGAGACACAGCGAGAGAGGAAACACAAGCAGGGGGAGAGGGAGAAGCAGGCCTCCCGCCGAGCAGGGAGCCCGATGTGGGGCTGGATCCCAGGACCCTGGGATCATGACCTGAGCCGAAGGCAGAGGCTTAACGACTGAGCCACCCAGGCGCCCCAGGATATGGTATTTTAAAAGAACAAGGTGGCTTAATGTCAGAACACTTCCGAGGCATTTGCTTCCTAAAACGTTCATATTTTTCAAGGAACCTTTATTTCATAAACGGGAATAGAATTAAGACAGTCCTTTATAGGAAAAACGTACATATTTCTGTTCTTCACTCCATAAAAATTAGTCCATGGTCCTCTGGCAAAGGTATAGTCAACGAGAGAACTGGGTGTGCGTCCAAGCTTTCCTCTTGTTTGTAGCTTGGTGCACACACTTGTGAATGAGCCAGACTGTCTCAGCTAGGATCCCTTGGGTTATAGCAATAAACTCACGTATTCTGTGAAACCACTGACTCCATTATGAAGGGATCTCCCCTTGTGGTGCCACAGTTGCTGATTACTGAGTTTGGTTTCAGAGATGGTGACTGGCAACTTCTAAAATAATCCTATTGAAGGGAGAAGTTTGGGTTTTTTTAAAGTAGAGTTTTCTGGAGGGAAAGAAACATGTAAAATGTTTTTAAGTAGCTAAAAGTCCTGGATGTAAGCAGATCATATATGACAGTGCTTGGCTCTTGGTATATGCACTAAAATTCACATTGTTGAATAAATACAAAAAAGCAAAGGTTTCAGAGAAAGTAAAAAAAAAAAAACTAAAATGACAATAGACATTATAATTGTTACTATGAACTTTACATGATACTCTTATTGCATTTGAAAACAACCTAATTGTGTATTGCTTTATGAAAACAGAAGGCTGAAATAAGATTTAATACACAGCATAAAAATACAGTTATGCTCTATTTTTAATGATTCAAATAGGAGTAAAATGTTCTGCTCTTTTAATTGATACAGGTAACTGAAGTGTATTCCTTTAAAGGAAAAAATAATTTGTAACCATGTTGGGTGGAAAATTTCTAAGTATTTATTACATGCCTGGGGGATAGCCAACAAGCTATGCTGAGCATAAAAACACATAAGCTTCACACTATGGGGATTATACCTCACTACTCACAGTGTGGCTCAGGAACCAGTGATGGCCTGCCCTAGGAGTTTGCTAGAAATGCAGGGTTTCAGGCCATGCCACAGACCTGCTGGCCCAGACCCTGCACGTTACCGAGAGCCCCAGGGATTAGAATGGGCTTTACAGTTTGAGTCAAATTGGACTAACGCACTAACGCCCTCAGGGCAACCAAGGTTGCTGGTGCTTTTTACTTTGTACTCTTCCACTAGCATCGTTGGATGATGGGGTCTTTCTAGTTGGTGTTACAGATGCCTCCTCTGCTGTTGCAGTTAGTTCGTGCTGCCAATTCACCTTTTCACACTGCCAAATAAAGAGGAACCAAGCTCCCAGGAAGACCATGAATGATCCTGCTAAGCCAGATCTTTCTGATGTCACACATTTCAGAGGAAAATGACAACACTACAAAGTGCAGAGATAAGGCTCCCTGAGAATTGTTTCACATGTTCACAAGCTTTCTCTGAGGTTCTTGAGTGGCATCAGAGGGCTGATGTCCCCCGAAGGCCATAAAGGATGGAACGTACCATGTATGGCACGTTCATGCACATGAAATCAAGTAAAAATATTTGGAAAGGTAATAGAGTATGGACCCAAGCTATGTCTTTAAGGCCAATTTTAGGTACATGGAGTCTTATTTTACAAGAACGGAAACTATTTGCAGTTCCAGCAGTTTATGGCAAGTCAAGTCCACGGATGCAGCCAGTCTCAGCAGGAGCTCGTGCTCTGCTACCGCCAACTCAGTTACAGTGTCACAAATTCATATGCAAAAGTGGCAACTTCTTAGAAGAAGTGGGAAATCTCAGTTGGTAAGTTTTGAAAAGAAACTAGAGAACCTTATCTTTTAGTAGATAAAGCAGCAATGAATGATACTTGTAACTCAGAGTGCTTTCAGCTACCCTACAGTAAGCAAGATGGTTTTTCACAAACTATTATTACAAATAGGATTTTTAGGACATTTTAAAGGTTTACCAAAAAAAAAAACCTTACGATCACATCCAACTTGCAATAGTTTATTTCCCTCCTTGACCACTTTGGTATAAAAACCATGACTTCAGTGAATGTGCTTCTGTAATTTAAATAATTTGATATGGTTCTTTCTGGTAATAGATTTTTCCCTCCATTTTAAAGTAAAACCTTTTTCAACAGCAAAAATGAGGGGCATTTAATTTTCACAAATTTATGTTTCAGCTTTTAAAAATATAAGTGGTAGGAATTTTGATACAGTTTATATAATCAGTTTTATGGGGGGGGGGGACAGGCCTTTTTAATGATTATTTCCAGACTATATTGATAGGAAAATAAAATTACAAAATGCATGTTACAATACCCAAAAAAGATGGTGCTTAGAAAACTAATGAGTCATGACATGACAAATATATATTCATGAAGCTTTAATCACATGCAGTTACATATTTCTTATCAATCAATTGTTATCTGGTCTTCACACTTAGGGATTTGTTCAGATGAAGCCGTTTATGATTTCAGTTGTTAAACTATGATTAGTTTTTAACAGCATTTATTCAGTGCATTCTGATTTATTTCCAATATGAAAAAACTATATTCCACTTTGTTCTGAATAAACCTCATTTTTAGTGATAAGATACGTTATAATGGTTTTTCCTGAATAACTAAAAATTGTCTTCCAACAAGGACCTATAAATATTTCAAAGTTACCTGGTATGTAGGCTTCTATTAGAATTAAAACTGCCTTGAGAAGGTACTGAGTTTTAAGAACACATTTTACTTTCACTGTAGACGACTACTCAAGTGCAGTGGGTTGTCCTTCATAATAATAAATAATTCTAATCCAGTCAGCAGGTCTTTTACTCTAAAGCTACTGCAGGATTTTTCCCTCCTCCAGTAGTGATAGTAATATTGATCTATCTTGTTCTTTCCTGATAACCATGATGAGGACTGATGATGGTTTCTGCTGGCTAAAGCTCAAACTCACCAAGGTTAACCAGTTCTCACTAAAGCCGAGGGGAAAAAATTTAAGCCTGTAATCTAATAGGGGCACCTGGCTGGCTCAGTCGGTAGAGCATGTGACTTGATCTTGGGGTTGAGTTCAAACCCTACGTTGGGCCTAGAGCTTACTTAAAAAACAAACAAACAAAAAACCCCACAACTGACCTAATAGAGATAATAGATCAATTCAACATAATAGAGGATTTGGGTAACTACCACTAAAGAATCCACATTATGATCATGAAAACAGCCAGTAAGTACATAATATTCTCTGCCATATTGCACTTAGTGCAAAAATCAAGATACAGCAAAATGGCCACATCACTCAACAACATTAACTCTCATGGAGACACTGCAGGGTATAAACGTGATGTGGGAACTGAGCTAAATCGTGTCCCTCTACCAAAAGAGTGTGGCACAAGATGCGACATTGGAGCACCAGACTGGCTCAGGTTGTGGAGTGTGTGGCACTTGATCTCAGCATCATGAGTTCAAGCTCCACACTGGGCCTGGAGTTTACTTAAAAAAAAATGTGGGACGCCTAGTTGGCTCAATCGGTTAAGTGCCTTCGCTCAGGTCATGATCCGGGGTCCTGGATGGGGATCCCTGCTGAGCAGGGAGCCTGCCTCTCCCTCTGCCTGCCGCTCCCCCTGCTTGTGCTTGCTCTCTCCCTCTCTCTGTGTCAAATAAATAAAATCTTTATTAAAAAATAATGCCATCAGGGGCACCTGGGTGGCTCAGTCGTCAAGCGTCTGCCTTCTGCTCAGGTCATGATCCCAGGGTCCTGGGATGGAGCCCCGCATCAGGCTCCCTGCTCCGCGGGAAGCCTGCTTCTCCCTCTCCCACTCCCACTGCTTGTGTTCCCTCTCTCGCTGTGTCTCTCTCTGTCAAATAAATAAAATCTTTTAAAAAAATAATGCCATCAGCAAGATTAGTGTAGTGTTCTTTGTTCATTGAACTAACAAAACAAGTGCTTGTGAAATTAAGGCATGAAAATAGACACAAATCTGGACAACACACAAAAGTAATTTCATAACAAGAACATGGGATGCATGTCTTACTGTCCCTAGTACCACACTTTGAGGAATGAGACTAAGCCAGTGAATTTCTTGACCGAAGGCAGTGACCCTGCACTTGAGAACCACCTGGGAGCTTTAAAAATGCTGATGCCCAAGCCCCACCCCCAGAGATGCTAACTGGTTGGGGATGTAGCCTGGGCATAGGGCTGTTTTTGTTTTTGTTTTTGTTTTATAAACTCCCCGAGTCGTTCTGAAGAGCAGCTGGAATTGCAAAGCTCTGGGCCTAGGGGAAAGAGCCCTGGGGGGAAAAGATTTGTTTGGGTGAGATAACTAGGGAGCACTCATTTGCTTCCTTAGAAAAATGAAAGGGTGAAATTGCTTGGGTTTTGGGTTGGTTTTTTTTGTTTTGTTTTGTTTAAGATGTTATTTTTAAGTAATCTCTACACCCAGTGTGGGGCTTGGACTTACAACCCTGAGATCAAGAGTCACATGCTCTACCACCGGAGCCAGCCAGGTACTCCTGGTTTTAAAGTCCATCCCATGTCCTAAATGTTATCTTAAGAGAAGCCTTTATAAAATACTTTTTTTTTCTTTTTTAATTAGAGCAGGAGGGAGGACCTTAAGCAGGCTCCATGCCCAGCACAGAATTGGATGCAGGGCTCGATCTCACTACCCTAAGATCATGACCTGAGCTGAAATCAAGAGTCGGAAGCTTAGCTGACTGAGCCACCCAGGTGCCCAGATAGATACTTTTTTTTTTTTTTAAGATTTTATTTATTTATTTGACAGAGAGAGAGCGAGAGAGGGAACACAAGCAAGGGGAGTGTGAGAGGCAGAAGCAGGCTTCCCGCGGAGCAGGGAGGCAGATGCGGGGCTTGATCCCAGGACGCTGGGATCATGACCTGAGCCGAAGGCAGACACTTAACGACTGAGCCACCCAGGCGCCCCGATAGATACTATTTTAATAATGTTTTCAAAGTGGTTTTTAATTTTCTGAGATGATATCTTGGGCTTTCAGATTGAATATGTCAGATTAAATATATGCCTTTAGCTCTACTCCATCCACAAACCCCACTAAATGACAGTAAAGGAGTAAAAAGAAAAGGTATAAATTTGTAGTAACAAAAACAGCAGGCAACAGTAGCCAGGTGGTAAGGAAGACATTTTGATGTTTCAGAACCCCCAAAACCTCAGGAATTCCAAAGGTGTGCCCCCCTAAAAACAGGGAAAATTGATAGGGTAGGCAACTAGAGGCCTCTCCCACAACTTACAACTGAAAAATCATCAATAAAGAGTGGTATAAGCATATGAGCTACAGAAGCAAACAGATAAAACTGCTAAAGGTTTAAAATGATGGCTCCAGGGGCGCCTGGGTGACTCGGTTGGTTGGGCAACTGCCTTCAGCTCAGGTCATGGTCCCAGGGTCCTGGGATCGAGCCCCATGTCGGGCTCCCTGCTCAGCGGGGAGCCTGCTTCTCCCTCTGACCTCCTCCCCTCTCTTGCTGTTTCTATATCTCTCATATGAATAAATAAAATCTTTTTTAAAAAAAGTTTAAATTTTTTTAAAAAAATAAAAAATATAAAACGATGGCTCCTGGATAGATAAATAAATAAATAAAATGATGGCTCGTGGGAATTGGGGAAGGGCAAGTCAGGGGTCTGCTGTTCTGAAAGCCTTCATCATTTGACTTCTAAAATTTAGATTATAAAGAGAAGATCTTTTTTTTTTTTTTAAGTTATTTTTGATGGGATGCCTGGGTGGCTCAGTGGGCTAAAGCGTCTGCCTTCGGCTCCAGTCATGGTCCCAGAGTCCTTGTTCGGCTCCCCCTGCTTGTGCACACTCACTCTCTCTCTCTCTGACAACAACAACAACAAAAGTTATTTTGGGGCGCCTGGGTGGCTCGGTTAAGCGACTGCCTTCGGCTCAGGTCACGATCCCAGGGTCCCGGGATCGAGCCCCGCATCGGGCTCCCCGCTCTGCGGGGAGTCTGCTTCTCCCTCTCCCCCTCCCCCTGCTGGTGTTCCCTCTCTCGCTATCTCTTTCTCTGTCAAATAAATAAATAAAATCTTAAAAAAAAAAATTTTTTTTTTGACCATGGTATGAGGGAAAAGGTATGCAAATACTGTAGATGAGAATGTAAAATAGTAAAACCTTTCTGAATGGCAATTGGGTAATATGGACCAAAATTTTAAATGTACAGAACATTTAGTTCAGCATTTTCGGTCTTGGAATTTTTCCTGAGGACTTGAGCAAGCACTGCTTTGATTATAAAACTAAAAATTGGAAACTACCTACATGTTCTACATTCGAATCTTCATTTAACAAGGGATGGCTCATCCATACAATGGAATGATATGTAAACATTTTAAGTGATGGATTTCACATGCATTAGATGCTCAAAAATGTAAAAGTCTGACAATAGCAATAGGTGAGCATGTCAAACAACTGGACTGTGGATATACTGATGGCGAGCGTGCACACTGGTTCACGGAGAAAGCAAAAATTGGCATCACTTAAAGGAAAATTTGAATATGCCCTTCTCTTTGACCAGGAATTCCTCTCCCAGGGAGTATAAAATGATAGAACTACTTATGAAGAAAATTACCATTTCTTAGTAAAATGGAAGATAAAAGGAAGGATATATCCAGTGTGATATGTGCAAAAATGTCCACAATAGCGTTCTAGTGGCCTCAGGTTGCACCCAACCCCAACGACCATCAACATAGAATGGAAATATATACCATAGTGAAAAGCAAAGAACATAAGTAAGAGCCACACACAAGAATGTGAATGAATCTCTGACTCTCACAAATAAAATGAGCAAAGAAAGTAAGATCCAAAAGAACAGAATGACTTCATCTATATAACCTTGAAACAGGTGGAAAATTAAAGCTATAAACAGTAAAAAACTAAGACAACTGCCATGAAAATCAGATACCACCGAGCTAGAAAAAAATAACGGCCTTCTCACAATTTAGGAGAAAATGATAGAAAATCACAACTGCACAAAACCCGTTAGCTACAAGATCTACCACTCTACCCAAATATTAGCACTGCAGGTACAAGGGCTCAAAAAAGACCAATATTCAAGCTTGTTTCTTCTCCACAGAAATACTCAGTGAAAGTCAAAAGATCTGCACCATCTGAAGAGAAATGGGAGTAGAGCGTCCCCATTTGAGAATTGCCAAGGAACTGAGGGTGAAGCAAAGCCTGCAGCAGCTCTTTCAGTCATTTGGGTAAAGAAAAGTCTCATTCTTTGAAATAATAGCTTTAAAGGAAACCTTTGGCTTTTAACTTGAAAATATATTGCCTGCAGTGCACCATGGTAATGCAAATGAAAGCTGAGTCATCGCCCTGGAGATTAACGCTGTAGCTCCTGAGCTCAGCTGACGCCCGCCTGGCAGGGACTGGCTCCCTCCCTAGTCGGCCCGACCCTTAATTGCATCTGTTTTGTTCACGGAGGCTCTGAGTATGATTTCTCTGGGATAAAGGATTTTGTTGCCTGCCTAAGAAAATATCAGAGCTCTGTATTTGACACGAAAGAATGTTCACCATATAATGTTAGATGAAATATAAAAGGCAAATTACAAGAATCTATTTACCACGATTACATTTTTCTTCCCAAAAAATGCATGCGTGTGCGTACGTTGATCATGTATGTGCGTAGAAAAATGCTTACACCAAAATTATCCTTACGCCAAAATGTTAATGCTGGTTATATGCCTTTTTACAAGCGCTTTGTTTTTGTCTATGTTTTCAGAAATGTCTGTCTTTGACATATTAAGGCAAAATAAGAAAAATAAAGTGATTTCATAATAAGCAAAGAAAAAGAAATTAGGAAGAATAATAAACAGGAGAATAAGACAAAGAATCAGAGAAGCAAAAATGATTTTTTTAAATTTTTTTTAAAGATTTTATTTTTTATTTATTTGACAGAGAGAACACAGCGAGGGAGGGAACACAAGCACGGGGAATGGGAGAGGGAGAGGCAGGCTTCCTGTGGCGGAGCAGGACCAAGACCCTGGGATCATGACCTGAGCCGAAGGCAGACCCCTAACCATCTGAGCCACCCAGGCGCCCCGCAAAAATGATTTTTTAAGATTTGATCAAGATAAAAAAAGCAGGCACAAATAATATTAGGAATTAGAAATGGGATACAATTAAAGATACAAAAGTGTGGCTGACACGGCTAGCTCTCTAACCAGTATCATTTTTCTCCTTTTTACTAACAAGGTATCTGTAGGGTCAGCAATGTGTTCAGTTTGTGGGAATAAAAATACATTTCCCAGGGGCGCCTGGGTGGCTCAGTTGGTTAAGCGGCTGCCTTCAGCTCAGGTCATGAGACTCAGGTCCTAGAATCGAGTCCAGTCCTGCCTTGGGCTCCCTGCCCAAGGGGTGTCTGCTTCTCCCTCTGCCCCTCCCCCTGGCTTGTGCTCTCTCTCACTCTCTCTTAAATAAATAAATAAAATCTTTTTTTTCTTTTAAAAAGTACATTTCTCAGTGTCCCTAGCCAGTGAGAATGGCCAATGAGAAGCAAGTAAAAGTCTTTGGGAGAACCCCCAGAAAAGCTGAGTCAACCTCATTCTTTCCTCCTTCCTACTCCCTGGAATATGGATGTGGTGGCTGGAGCTGCAGGTACCTCCTTGAGACCAAGAAAGAAAAGTCAAAGAATTGCAGGGACCTTAACTTGGACAATTGAGGCTCTAAACCAGGGGTCAGCTAAGTATCCTTATGAATTAGTGGGTTTAAATATATCTGATGTGTGTCTATCCATCGCAGTTTTTATCTTTACTGATTTTTAAATTGTCTTATCTCAGTCCAATAGGAGCTTCTTCAAGTAGACCCCTGAGAGTTTGACTCAACTCTTTTTTTTTTTTAAGATTTTATTTATTTATTTGACAGAGAGAGACACAGCGAGAGAGGGAACACAAGCAGCGGGAGTGGGAGAGGGAGAAGCAGGCTTCCTACGGCGGAGCAGGGAGCCCGATGCCGGGCTCAATTCCAGGACCCTGGGATCGTGACCTGAGCTGAAGGCAGACGCTTAACGACTGAGCCACCCAGGCGCCCCTCCAATGTGAATTATACTTTAAAAATTTATACATATATAAAACATTATGGTAAATGAAAGAAGTCAGACACAGAAGGTCACATATTGTATGATTGCATTTATATGAAATATTCAGAATGGGTAATCCATAGAGACAGAACAAAGATTGGTAGTTGGAGGAGAGAATGGGGAGAAATTGCTTAATGACTATAGGGTTTTATTTTGGAATTATGGCAATGTTCTGGAACTAGATAGAGGAGGTGATGGAACAACATTGCATATGTACCAAAGCCACCGAATTGTTCACTTTATTTTATTATTTTTTTTTTTTGGGGGGGGGAGAGACAGAGGGTGAGAGAGAGAGAATCTTAAGCAGACCCCACACCCAGCGTAGAGCCCAACGCAGGGCTCGATCTCATGACCCTGAGATCATGACCTGAGCCGAAATCAAGAGTTGACACTTAGCCACCCAGGTACCCCTGAACTGTTCATTTTAAAATGGCTAGTTTTGGGCACCTGGGTGGCTCAGTTGGTTAATCATCTGCCTTCGGCTCAGGTCATGATCCCAGGGCCCTGGGATGGAGCCTCACATCAGGCTCCCTGCTCAGTGGGGAGCCTGCTTCTCCCTCTCCCACTCCCCCTTCCCCCGGCTTGTGCTCTCTCTCTCTCTCTCAAATAAATAAATAAATAAAATCTTTAAATAAATAAATAGAATGGCTAATTTTATGTTATGTGAATTTTACCTCAATAAATTTAAAAATATGTTATTAGATATATTTTACACATATTTTATAGCTAATATATGTATTACACATTATATATGTATTATATATCTAAAACATATCCTTGAGACAGTAGGGTAAATTTGCAAATGGACTGGATACTGGATGATATGAAAAAATTATTGTTAGAAATTTAGCATTGATAATGACACTGAATACATCCCTTGGCCATTTGGGCCACTCAGACCCCTGGGACACAACCCCCCCCACCAAGTCTTCCCCATGATCCAGCCACTGACACCACTATAGCCCAGCTCAAGCTGAGGGCCTCCAGGACCCCAGTCAGCCAGAAGTTGACAACCTGTGCCCGTCATTAAGCTTTCCTCTCTGAGCTTTACATCTGCCCTCCCAGGTGCCCTGGTTCTCCTTGGCCGGGGACTCCCTGTTAGGCCCTGCCATTGGGAGGCGCTAGAGGGCAGGCTGGAGGGGAGAGAGGACTTGTTTCTGTGCTTTGTCCGCACAAATTTCACCTGGCTGTAATGAGTTTCAGGGGTAGCAGTTAATTTCCATTTGCAGCTTTCCCCCAGAACCAAGCTCATGGTGCCCCGAGAGACCCCAGCATCGACGCCCCCTCATCACAGGTCTGGTCCCCTCCTCCAGGCTGGTCAGCCTCAATAAGTCCAATTGCTCCTTTTTCCCCTCCAGTCCCAGGAGCAATTGCTGGAAACAGCTACCTTAGTGTTTCCTTTTTGCCAAAAGGCTCTTCAAAATATGGGCTAATCATTCTTCTCCTCTCCCCCCAACCCCTGGTCAATCATTCCTTATATTAAATTTTATCTGAAGTAAACGTCTCGTTGAAATCGGTATTCACCAAATTTGGTGAATGGGACTAATTGCAGCTGCCGACTCATAAGCTCAGCTGCAGATTTTTACCCAGACCTTTTTCCTTTGCCTTTAAATTTCCCTGACTCCCCTCCGTCGGAGGTGGATTTGAGGCTTACTCTCCTGTCTCCGTCGGTCGTTTGGCTGCCTCTTTCCTTGCTGCACGCTCATTGTCTCAGCGATTGGCTTTGTTGTGCATGGGGCAAGATGAGCTTGGGCTTGGTTACAAATTTGGCAAACCAGCCGGTTGCTCTTTGCCCGTGCTTCTTTGGGCCCCCAGCCGGTGACAGGAGTCTGGTCATAAGTCTAAGCAGCTGCCTACACTTTTTGTCCTAGGGACCGTCCCCAGGGCCCCACCCCGACTGGGCACTGCTGGCCTTCAGCGCCTACTTTAACTCTTGCCACAAGGAAACGGTTTGGGGGTTTGGTTTGGACCGACTTCTCTTCTTGGTGAGTACTTCGTGCTTGACAGCACATGAGCTTATTTCTTCCTCCCGTTTGGGTTGGCTCTCTTAGATTTCTTCCTCTCGTTTAGTTGCCTTCCCCCTGAAGGGTTTTGGTTCTCTTCGTCTCCTTTTCTTGAATGCTTAAAAAAAGGCTGGGGAGGAAGCCATTTGGTTCAGTCGGTGAAGCCCCAACTTTTGGGGAGGAATCAACAGAACCAAGGCTTACAGAGCGACTCTGGGCTTTGTCTGGTTTGCTTGTTGCTACGTCTTTTGCTGTCCTTGAATAAAACCAGCTAAGGTGTAATTGGGAAATGAGGATTTGATCCCCGCATGCGGCCCTTTGAGCTGTATTCTCCAAAATTGGGCAACTTTTTTTTTTTTTTTTTTTTTTTTTGCAACACTTCTTGGCTATGATATTCATTAGACCCTGGAGAAAAATAACCAATTAACAGACCCATAAATTATAATATCATCTTGCAATTAGGTTTTTTTTTTTTAAGATTTTATTTATTTGACAGAGAGAGAGACAGCGAGAGAGCGAACACAAGCAGGGGGAGTGAGAGAGGGAGAAGCAGGCTTACTGAGGAGCAGGAAGCCCGAAGCGGGGCTCAATCCCAGGACCCTGGGATCATGACCTGAGCCGAAGGCAGACGCTTAATGACTGAGCCACCCAGGCGCCCCTAGATTTGTTTTTTCTTTTTAAGATTTTATTTATTTGACATTTTAATATTTTATTTATTTTTAAGATTTTATTTATAGCGAAAGCAGGAACACAAGTAGGGGGAGTGGGAGAGGGAGAAGCAGACTCCCACTGAGCAGGGAGCCCGATGCAGGGCTCCATCCCAGGACCCTGGGATCATGACCTTAGCCAAAGCCAGACGCTTAACGACTGAGCCACCCAGGCACCCCTGCAATTAGATTTTTTTGGTAAAAAGGAGCTCTTGAGAAATCGGTCCTTTAAGATTTTGTTTGCATCGGGCGCCTGGGTGGCTCAGTTGGTTAAGCGACTGCCTTCAGCTCAGGTCATGATCCCAGGGTCCTGGGATCGAGTCCCGCATCGGGCTCCCTGCTCTGCAGGGAGCCTGCTTCTCCCTCTCCCACTCCCCCTGCTTGTGTTCCCTCTCTCGCTGTGTCTCTCTCTGTCAAATAAATAAATAAAAAATCTTTAAAAAAAAAAAAGATTTTGTTTGCATCTTGTGTTTTTGTATGTGTGTCCATGTATGTTATAAATGTGAGCTATTTTCTTTACCTCCTGATGGCATTGCTAAAATTAATTTGTAAAAGAGCTCTATTCAGTTGGTTTAAAGGCAAGCACTTGTAAGAATTGGGCATTTTAAAACTCAGATGGAAACTAACCCAAATGTTCAAGTTTCCATGATCTTGGAAAATATTTGGCATTAAAGCTAATTTAAGGTGGTCAGTTTAATTACAATGGACATGTCTTTAGAATTATCAGCATTTAATGTAAAAGTTTGTGTTATTTCCATTGCAAAATTTGTCAGAAAAGGGAAAAAACTTAGAGCTTTGTCTAATGCTTCATGAAGTTTTATGGGTGATCTAAGACTGGAAATAATAAGGATAACAACTCTGTATGCAAGGAAAGAGAGACTGGTTATTTAAACAGGGTAAAGTTAGAACAAAATCTGACTGTATAAAAGGAAAGTTGTAGAAGGCTTGTGAGAAGGAAGCCTTTGGTAAGGAATTTTGTACATGGTCAGGACTAAGATTATAGAGCATGAACATGGAAAAAAGTTTATTAGGGAGTAATCAACCCCTGGGAAAGAGAAGGGAAAGTAAAAGAGCAAAATGAGGCAGAAGTTGAACAGTAATAAAATATTAACAGAAGCCTTAGCTGATTCTGAGGAGTTCCAAAGTTGGATTACCCTTCAGAACCATCCTAATTTGGGGCAAAGGGGCTGGACTTCTATAACAACCATTGGACGTGACCACCTGGGAAGAGGGCACAGCCTTCCCAAGGCAGCTGTCTTCGGTCAAGGTTATCCCTGATGGCCTCAGAGTTGGGAATGGTTGGCAGCCTCCCCACAGCTGAGAGTCCTTCATTCCTAGTGGAGATCTTGGTCAGTATATCACAGCATCCACAGCAACTCTGATCCATGCAGTGTCCTGGATGTTCTTGTCAAAATAAGTTTATATCAACATGGGAGATGACAGGAAAAAGACTGCATAAAGTCTTTAAAAATTCATCATGTTGCAAGGCACCTGGGTGGCTCAGTTGATTAAGCATCCAACTCTTGATTTCTGCTCAGGTCAGGATCTTAGGGTCATGAGACTGAGTCCCACATCTTAAGCTTCTCTCCCCCCTCACTATCCCCTTCCCCCTTCCCCTTCATTCCCCCCTCCCACTGACCCTTCCCCTTGCTCTTGCATGTGTTCTCTGTCTCTCTTAAAGAAATAATAAAATAAGGGCGCCTGGGTGGCTTAGATGGTTAAGCGTCTGCCTTCGGCTCAGGTCATGATCTCAGGGTCCTGGGATCGAGTCCCGCATCGGGCTCCCTGCTCCTTGGGAGCCTGCTTCTCCCTCTGCCTCTCTCTCTCTCTCTTTCTCTCTGTCTCTCATGAATAAATAAATAAAATCTTTTAAAAAAAAAAAGAAATAATAGGGGCACCTGGGTGGCTCAGTTGGTTAAGCAGCTGCCTTCAGCTCAGGTCATGATCCCAGGGTCCTGGGATCGAGCCCCGCATCGGGCTCCCTGCTCGGCGGGGAGCCTGCTTCTCCCTCTCCCTCTGTCTGCCTCTCTGCCTACTTGTTCTCTCTCTCTATCTCTCTGTCAAATAAATAAATAAAATCTTTAAAAAAAAATTTAAAGACTTGATTGTTAAAAAACAAAGTCAAGTTTAAAAACCTTAAAAAAAAGAAATAGTAAAATAAAAAAATATATTCATCTTGTTGGAGTAAGAGTTTTAATATCAAGTACATGGTATGAGCTTGGGATTTGGTTTTCTTCTGCTAAAATGACAGTTTTTTGAGATTATTGGTCTAAATGGTAAGCAAAGGTTTTTATCTTTACTCTGTCTAGAACAACAAAGTTTGTATGTTTTGTCTTTATTAGGTCTTTGATTAAACTAAGGTTTCCAATTTTCTCCCATTTTCTTGACTTGAAACCATTGAAAACTAAACCTGTCCTTTTTTCCAGAAGCCCTGCAAACTGAAGCTAGACAACTTGAAGTAAACTTCAAAAATCACCACACTGGCCCATGTTTGTCTGTTGCTGTATGGGCCACTCAGAAAGATCACCAGAACAAGTTTATTCCAGCCATCCTGATTTGGTGGATCTGCCATTGGAAATTCCAGACCTTAAGATAATCACGGATGGGAGCAGTTTTATGGATCAAGGACAACAAAGAGCTGGATGCAATGGTGACCCATCAGCTATTGTCCAATGCTGAGGACACCCCAAATTGTTTGATTGCTCAAGGGAATAATCAGGCAGACCAAGCCACTAAGCTGGTAACCCTTACAAAGACCATAAAACTCTTTATAATATAATGGCTTCGGTACTAGATGTAGACTTAATTAAATACCAGCCCCAATATTCCTGGAAGAGCCTCAGAAGAACTAAAGAATAGGGATTTGGATACCCTGCTGGCACTAAAGCCAGCTGGAAATATAATGAATCTTTATCCTGGAACATCTTATGGAAGAAATGGTTGGTTAGCCATATTCACCAAAGCATCCATTGTGGGTGAGATACTATTCTTCAATGGATCCAGAAGTATTTGGTGGGGCCCAATCTTCAGATAACTTTTCAAAAATAAGACCTTTGTTGTAGTAGTAGTAGTAGTAGTAGTAGTAGTAGTAGTAGTAGTAGTAGTAGTAGTAGTATATTTGGGCTAAAAATAATCCTAAGACTGGGACCCCATCAGTTCTAAAAGGTCTGTAACTTAGAGACCCTGAACTTGGAGAAGACTCTCAGGGATACTAGACCATAATGCCAAAAGCAGGTTGTTTTGTTTTTGTTTTTAAGTAATTTCTATGCCTGACATGGGGTTGAACTAATGACCTTGCAATCAAGACCTGAGCCAAGATCGAGAGACAGTGCTTAATCAAATGAGCCACCCAGGTGCCCGTGTGTGTGTGTGTGTGTGTGTGCGCGCGCTAAGAGATCCTAACCCATGAATATTTTATGTTTTTTACCATTGTCTTTATATACATAGTTTCCATTACCTTGAAAGTATATAATTAAAATTGAGACTTGGGGAAATCAGAACAAAATTCATGAATGCCTATACTTAAATATGCAATATATGTATGGAATATTTGAGTTTTTGAAATGCATGTACTCTCCCAATATTCCATACGTGACAAGAACTTTGGGTGTATCCTCTTCCTGCTGGAGTTGGCTCCCCAGTGTGTGCCAATCTAATCATACCCTCCATGGCCTGCCATCAATATGCCTGAACAATCTGGGTATGAAGTAAAATCATTTTCTAAATCTTTTTTTTTTTTTTTAAGATTTTATTTATTTGACAGAGACACAGCGAGAGAGGGAACACAAACAGGGGGAGTGGGAGAGGGAGAAGCAGGCTTCCTGAGGAGCAGGGAGCCCAATGCGGGGCTCGATCCCAGGACCCTGGGATCATGACCTGAGCCGAAGGCAGACGCTTAACGACTGAGACTCCCAGGCGCCCCATCATTTTGTAAATCTTTTAGCGTCTGCCAGAAATGTGGAAGTGTATAGCAAATACTAAACTTGGCCAAATTCCTATAAGGACTTTAATCAGGGTTAGCTCAGAAGGATGGTATTGGGTAATCAAATTAAACAATAAGCTCTCTGTTCTATGAAAAGGCAAATACTCCTACAACTACCTACAACCCCAATAGTATCCAACAAACATGAAATTTAACTCTTGATGAAATAATACTCCTGGCTGCTTTAAAGGTTAGTAGGAGCTTTTCTTTCTTTGAAAATACTGAGGTGGACTAGTCAAACTAGCATGGTTAATTTAATTCCCATTGACCCTTCAAGACACAGCTCAGATGTTACCTTAAACCTTCCTTAAATCTTTCTACCACCAGAAGAAAATAGTCCTCAAGAAGTTACTTTGCAATACCTATACCCTAGGAATTATGTTGTTTATGCATGTCACTGCCCATTACTGGCCTGGGTGCCCTTATTCTAAATCGTCGTATGCTCAGTGTCTAATATAGTGCTCAGAATGTAGTAGGTGCTCAAATGTTTAATTGATGAATGAAAATTTTCTATTGCCACCAAGTTTATCCTGGGGTGATCTTGGTCCTGTGGCTGGCTGAGGTCTTCTCAGTGTAGCTGGGGGCTGTTGCTACCAGGAAACTCTCTAAGAGGTTGCACAAAGGAATATCACCTTGGGGAATTGAGGGTTTGGCTTTCATCTGTACAGGTTCAGAAAAATGATTACTTTTATCTATTCAGAGGCTCTTCATAATAAGTATTTGGAGCTTTCTGAGTGTTATATTCTGTGAGGCAGTGGTAATACAAGAGTTTAATGGAGACTGTCCTTGCCCTCACTTCATTTACCACCTGGTTGAGGGAAAGAGTCAATTCAACAAACCTTTACACTGAAGAGTGGGACTGGCTGGGGATGAGAAGTACAAAATGCTAGGGATGGATAACATGGTACACCTAAGATACTCTGGGCACCAGAGGGGCTTCCTGGAGGGACCCTCAGGATATGTTCTCTCCAGAACAGCCCTTGGGCCTGATTTACAAAGTCAAAATGTCCCTTTATTAACAATAAGCAATGGAAGTAGTTCACTGGATGGAAAGGTACACATATCTACATTCTCTCTCTCTAGTCAGATTCACATTAGGAGCCAGATTATAATGGTAAGATTGTTTGGTAAGAAAACAATTTTCCCTGCTCAAAGGCATTAGGATGATGGGGCCTCCATCCCTACACTAGGAATTAGGCTTGTGAATAGGGCCATTATTTTTGAAGTTCTCTTTTTTGGAACAAAATTCTCTCTCCCCCAGACATTGCATGGATGGCTTTGTCAGCCAGGTTTCCCTGACTCTCCCTTTTCTAGGTTTCTGCTCTTCTAATAGAAACACTGCTTCTTTAGATTTGTCAATACCTTTGAACATATTATAAGGTATGGTTGGGGAAGAAAAATTTTCCTCTATCCTTCAACATTCTTCTAGCTAGTCTGAGAATCAAATTGACAAAGGACAGATTAACGGGAGAAAATAAAATTTAATTATGTATATATGAGGGATCCACACAGACATGAGAGTCCAAAGACAGGCAAAATGAAGTATAAAGGACCTCCTGAACTAAGAAGAGGGTAGGGGTCTGGGACTTCAAAGGGAAGGAAAGCGACTTTCATGAAGATGAAAAAGTAAATGTTTGCTGGGCCACTCAAACAACGAGACACAAAGAGGAATTTGATCAAACAGGCTTGCTGGGTTCCTTCTTGTCTACCATACCTAGTTCATAGTCTAATATAGTTATTTATGGTGCTAGCTCTCAGAGCAGGTCCTCCATATTCGTTTAGGTAGTTAGGGGGAAGTTCCAGGTTTCTTCCTGAGTGTTCATGGGCATTGGTTATTTTCAGCTTGAAATAATCTGCATACTAACGTGGCACATTTTGGAGGAGCCTGCCCTTGGCCCTTACAGTTTGATGAGGTCTGTAATTTACTGTCAGCAAGAAGTGTAGTAGTAGTAGCAGCCTGTGTGTGTGTGTGTGTCGCATTAAATTAAGGGCTGGCAATGACTCTACTCGGGACTTTACACACCAAGGGTGGTCAGCTATATTAATCAAGGAGTCCATATTCCATATTACAGCTACAAATGGTTCTGTCAGCCATAGCTCAATCAAACCAGCAGCTTTGCTAAGTAGCAGAATGAAGGTTAGAAATTGGTTTTCATTGGTGGAATTAGCAGTTTGTTAGCTAGTATGACAGGTGAGAGAAATGGGCTCGAATTGGTAAAATCAATGATACTCAAGACATGCGTTGTTTAGAATATGTGAGACTTCTCACCCTTGGATCGACAGGGCATAAGAACCTAGCAAGCTGGAAGCCTGTTCCCTTAGGGATAATACTATAGGCTAAAACTCTAAATGGCTCTGTGTCCAGCTATGAACTCTGAGAGTTCCAGCTCCCCAATAATGGTTATGAGGCCAACAGAATCCTCTCTCTGTGATTGTGGTGAGTCTACTTTGAGTGCCTTGCATTTCCTGCAAAATGATTGTCAGAGCACGTGAAACAACAGAGAGCTGGGACATCACTGAACTTAATATTCATAAAAACTGTTTTGTGCCTCAGATACATGGCTGCTTAATAAACATCTGAATAAATGGGCCCATATTCAGGTTATTTGCAGAGCCCTTAGGGAGCCTGGGGAGAATACTCCCTACCCAACGAGGAGGAACTGTTTATCTTGGGACCTTCACCTTCTTGGCAGGCACAGCTCTTAACAGATGACAATTCCTTGAGCAAATGTGAGAATAATTAATGAAGACAGAACATGGGGTGCCTTTTCAAGACTCACGAAATAAAAAAAAATGATAGCCCTCGCAAACCTAAAATATAACCCTAACAATGGATCCCAGCAGAGATAAGCAAAGTGCTTTATAGAGCTTTGGACTAAGTCTTGACAGAGACCTCTCTGAAGACATTTACGACAAAAATCTAAACAAAGAATGGGTATATAAAAAAAATCAGGTTAGTCTGACCCAAGGAAAAAGAGAATGATCCAAGACCTAGAGGACAAGGCAGAAGCTATTCTTTCTCTGACCAGTGTTGGAAGCTGTGCATCACTTCTGTTATGCTATATTCCTTAGAAGCCAACCACTAAGGCTGACCCATACCCTAGAGGAGGGGAATCATACTCCACCTTTTGGAGGAAGGAGCATCAGCGAACTTGTGGACAGATTTTAAAACCACCATTGCCTACATTAAAGATGTTATAGGACCTCTAAAATTCATATTTCTCTCAGGAGCAGTAATAGCTATGTTTCTCTTGAGCAACCACTTTATTATTTTACAGTATTGTGAATCACTCTGTAAATTGTGTTTTCCTCTTTTCTCAGCTGTCAAGAAGCACAAAATAAAAATTTGGTTCACCTCCAGCTTGTGTACAAGACCTCAAGGCATGTGTTTTATGGATTCAGCTCACCCATGACTTCATCTTATTTTTCCCATCCTTCTTTCATATTCACTTTCTCCTCATTCCTGCCCATATATACATAGGAATGAATGAATAGCATGATATAGATCTTTCACCCTACATACACACATATACCCAAATCCCTTTGGAAATAAGACCATGTATAAATAAAATAAATACAATTATTTTTCATCTTTTAAGATCTGACATCACTTACATAGTTCTTTTGTTTTTGTAATAAAGATAACTACTGACTTTTTTCCATACATAATTAAACAAAACAGAAAATCATGAAGTAAAAATACTCCCAAATCTCACCACCCAGGGAAACACATTATTAACATTTTGATTAATATCCTTCTACGTATCTCTTTATAAACAAACGGGCAATTCTATATAAATGGCTTTTTTTAAATTGAAGTATCATTGACCCACAATGTTATATCAGTTTCAGGTGTACAACACAGTGGTTTGACAACAACACTATACAGTATGCTGTGCTCACTGCAAGTGTAGCTCCCATCTGTCACCATACGAGGCTATTACAGTATCATTGACTATAGTCCCTATGCTGTACCTTTTATCTCTGTGACTTATTCATTCCCTGACCGGAAGCCTTTATCTCCCACTCTCCTTCACCCCTTTTGTCCATCCCCTACCCCCTCCCAAATGGATTTTTTTTTTTTTTAAGTAGGCTCTACACCCAACATGGGACTTGAATTCACAACCCAGAGACCAAGAGACACATGCTCTACCGACTGAGCCAGGCAGGTGCCCCTGGAATTTTTTCTTTTAAAGCTCACCATGCTATGTATGTTTTCTAGGTCAAATTAAAACAATGTTTATCATTCTTAGTAATTGCATGGTGTTCAATTGTGCCATTATTTAACTACTGTGCATTTTGACACTCAGCTCCCTGAACAGGTTAGAAAAAGCATTACCCCTACATTTATTATGCATCTTGCTGGGAATTTTACCTTTAAGAAGGTGAAGCATGGGGCACCTGGGTGGCTCAGTCGGTTGGGCAGCTGCCTTCAGCTCAGGTCATGATCCCAGGGTCCCGGAATCAAGCCCCGCATTGGGCTCCCCGCTCAGCGAGGAGTCTGCTTCTCCTTCTGACCCTCCCCGCTCTTGTATTCTCTCTCTCTCAAATAAACGAATAAAATCTTAAAAAAAAAAAAAAAAAAAAAAAGGTGAGGCATGGTGGCCGAGACCATCAACTTTATATAGAATCTGGCTATGGGTTCATTATCTACTGCTCTAGTTTTGAAATCTCAAAGCTGGACTGAGGTGTGCTGCCCATGAGATAAAATACTGCTACTTTCCCCAAATTTACAGAAATAATTAAAATTGATAGATGGAATTTCCACAATATTGAAATTTACTCTCATGTATATTATTACATTTTTAGCATCTGCTACCACTGTCTTGTATTCAACTTTAATAAAAAATGGTAAAGAATTCACGCAAAATTTCATAATGAGTTATTTAATATATCAGAATTTCATGAGGGTCCGTGACTTTCAGAGGCTCGTCATTAGAGATCTGGTTCCATCAGATGGAAACGGAATATTCCTGAGCAAAACTGTACCCCGGCCCCAATCCTGTCAAGAAAAAAGAAATCGATTCAGCAAACCTAATTTGTTTTAAAATTTCAGTAACGAGGAACACTACATCAAAAACTAATGATGTGGGCGCCTGGGTGGCTCAGTTGGTTAAGCGACTGCCTTCGGCTCAGGTCATGATCCTGGAGTCCCGGGATCGAGTCCCGCATCGGGCTCCCTGCTCAGCAGGGAGTCTGCTTCTCCCTCTGACCCTCCCCCCTCTCATGCTCTCTGTCTCTCATTCTCTCTCTCGCAAATAAATAATAAAAAAAAAATCTTAAAAAAAAAAACCCCAAAAACTAATGATGTATGGTGATTAACATAACATAATAAAAAAAATAATAAAATTTCAGCAACGAAAGGACTAGCGGAGAAAACAGGATACATTCAACATGTATTAAGCGCCGACTAAGTGTGGAGAGCTGTGCTAGAAGACCGGGCGGTTCAGCCAAGGTGAATAGGACGCAGCCCCCACCCCGCAGGAGCTCAGGACAAGTAAATGGTGCTGAGAGCTCTGGTGGATGATTAGGACTCGGGACAGGTGTCCCAGCCAGAAATTCTGAAAGCCATTACATCTCTGCCGCCTTGAAAGTCATGATTTCCCCTTATCCCTAATCATTTGGGCTCAATTCCGAAGAGGAGCAACAGAAACAAAAACACAACAACATGTCCCCACTCTGCTCCCTCCCAAACACTGGAATATTTCTAAACTTTTCCCTCAGGATAATTAAGAGTACCTTCCGGTACTGGTACATCGCTTCCAGAAAACTACAAGTCCCAATAGGCTGCACGCGCAACCCAGGGGACACTCCCCGTTTCAGAACGCCGCCTTACGCTCCAATCCTGAGCTGGGCCGGTGAGCCGTGGCCGCGCAGCCTGCTGGGACTTGTGGTCCGCTTCAGATTTCTTTTTCCCTGTCTGCGCAGACTCGCGCGGCCTGTGTTCGCCCTTCGGCCCCGCAGAAGCCCAGCCCAGACTTCAATGTTCCCCACCCACATCCCGCTCCATCCCCTCGGGGGGCCAACCTCCTCCGGTCACGTGGGAAGCAGTTCATGCGGCGATTGGCCGTGGGGGTTCAGGGGCGGGGCGCGGGGGCCCTGAAAGATTCCGTGCCCCTTGTCGGGCCGCTTGTTTGGCTGCTGCCGTCACCTCATGGCGACGCGGGTAGAGGAGGTAGCGCGGGGAAGAGGCGGCGGCGCCGAAGAGGCTATTGAGGCCGGACGGGGCGGACGGCGACGCAGCCCGCGGCAAAAGGTCAGTCTGGGAGGAGTCCGCGTTGTTGTACGGCCGGGGGAATACCCAGGCGAGATTTTTCGGGGTACACATCTTCACTCTCTCCGGTTACCTTTAGCCACGGGACGAACATCCGGCCTTTTTCCTTCCCGGGGGTGACGACAGTGGGAGCAGGTGGGGGAGGATTTGGGACTGGGATCGATGGGGTAGGAGGGAGCGAAGGTTGGGGTTTTGGGGCGCGCGGCAGAGGTGGGGAGAGGGCAGGGGGCGCAGCCTGGTGTGAGGGGGAAGGGGTGCGAGGCGGGGGCGCGCCAGGTGTGACAGCCACGTGCGGCCGGCGCCGAGGAACCCCGGGCGCCAGGTGTTCCTTCTCCTAGCCCCCGCCCTCGGCGTGCTCTCCGTGCTCCCGGTGCTCTCCGTGCTTCTAGTGCCCCCGGCGCCGGGCGCCGCCGTCGGAAAGCTGCCTGGGTCAGGGACTGGCCCTCCTCTTGCCGGGCAGGTGCGCAGGGCGCGCTGCGGGGTGCGCCCGGGCGGCGCGGGCGAGGCTGTTGCGCAGTAAGATAACCGCGCGGGAGCCGGGGTTGCACTGCGCCCCCCTTCCCCCGCCCCCCTGCGCTCCCCGCCACTGCGCGGGCGGGCGAACGCCGCGGGGCTGGAGGGGCCATTCGGCTCCCGGGCCCCAGGGCTCGTCTCTGGGCACCACTGGCCTGACTACACGTGGGACCGGCGATGGGAAGACGATGCTGGTGCACTTGGGTCCCGCAGGGTTGGGGGCAGCATCGCATGATAGCCGGTCTTCCCATTTAGCCCTCCCTCCCCTTTCTTGCTTTCTTTATTTACCCTCCTTTCCTTTCTTTTTTTTGGGTGAGCGGAAACTTGAGCGCCTCCCCCACCCTGGCCTTTGGTCTCTCTCAATCTGGGAGACAGGCTGGACCGTTCCCCTTGCCTTACTTGACTCACGTCAAGGAGTTTTCAGTGTCTCCCTGGATACAGGAAAATCGAGACCTTCTGAATGGGAGAATTCCACTTGTTCTGGAGTCAGTGGGTGGAGTTCGAAAAAGATTGCACAACAAATGGGGTACAGGGCTTTCAGGGCCCAGGAATGGAAATCCGCGGGGAAAGGCGCTGGAAAGGTGGGAACCCCGTCTCTTTTTCCTTACAGTGGAACTTATTGAAACGTTCAACTTGTTGGACGGCCTGCTTGATCACTCCGGTATTTAATATTACTTAATTATGCATTTGAATACTCTCAAAAATCACTCCTGTGTGAAATTACGAAATAATATTTTTCTTATGAGATTTATGAGCTTGAAAAAGGAGAACAAAGGTTTGGTTTACATCTGAGCAAAGTGTCAAGAATTGGCTTTTAGGGGCTTTTTTTTTTTTTTTTTTAGATTTTATTTATTTATTTGACAGAGACACAGCGAGAGAGGGAACACAAGCAGGGGGAGTGGGAGAGGGAGAAGCAGGCCCCCTGCGGAGCCTGTTTCTAAGATCGGGTATTTTCATATCTCCCTGCATAAGGGTGTTACTACTATTCAGTTACCTCTCCTTCTTTCTTTGTACTCTAAAATAAAGATCCAGTACTTGAAGGACTGAAAAAGAAGCTGTGGACCGAATGTACTCTAGAGTTTCAAAACTGTCACTTTGGACACTTATTTATTCCCTGAGGGTGGGGAGCCAATCTCAGTGTTTGATTTCATAGATCCCCCAGGGGAGGACTCTGATAGAAAGCCATTGCAATTGAGGACATAAGTTCCCGTTTATGTCACTAGGATAAGGACCAAAAGTCTGAATTAGGAACTGAGGTTTAATCAACTAGCATTTTAAACGACTGAGATAAGAGGTAGTGACCCTTTGAGGCAGCACTCTGGGTAACAGGTGGATATGAATAGTCATATGTGTCTGTACTGTCTCAGTTTTGTTTTATCTCCTGTACCTTTTTTCTTTGCTCATGTTTTTCTGGGCATCTTTTTTCCTTTTGATTTTCAATTGACTATGACCTGGAATTGAAATACATGGTTAAATATTAGTTTTTGAATTTTCATTTAAAAAAATTGGGTGACTATCTTGTGTCTGCAAAACGCACTTATTTCTTTATGACCCCTAATTTTTTTATTTCCTCTGGGTTACCAACTTGAAAGAATATTCCGAATTCTAACTTGACTTGTACTGTATTTTTTCAGGAAGCAGAAATGATGTTTAACTAATTGGAATGTTTTGAAAATATTGAGGGAATTAAAGAAGAGTGACTGTTTAGTCACTGACTTAAAGGGAAAAACAACTGGAGATGGGCTTTATTGGCTCCTAATTGTTTGAACCATCTACTTAGTCATTCTTCGCCAGCTCAGTTAATTGTGGCATTGTTTCATAACTACATCCATTTGAATGGTCTCTTAAGGTAACTCTTCTTCTAAGGTTAATATTATAGTACATTTCTTTTTTTATTTTTAAGATTTTATTTATTGGGCGCCTGGGTGGCTCAGTTGGTTAAGCGACTGCCTTCGGCTCAGGTCATGATCCTGGAGTCCCGGGATCGAGTCCCGCGTCGGGCTCCCTGCTCGGCAGGGAGCCTGCTTCTCCCTCTGACCCTCCCCCCTCTCATGTGCTCTCTGTCTCTCTCATTCTCTCTGTCTCAGATAAATAAATAAAATCTTTAAAAAAAAAAAGATTTTATTTATTTATTAGAGAGAGCATGTGAGCAGGGGGGAAGGGTAGAGGGAGAAGCAGACTCCCTGCTGAGCAAGGAGCCCAACGTGGGGCTCGATCCCAGGACCCCGGGATCACGACCTGAGCCGAAGGCAGACGCTTAACCGACTGAGCCCTTTTAGTACATTTCTAAGGGTCTCTTGAATTGTCTAAAACTGTGCTGATATGATAGCCACTAGCTGCATGTGGCTGTTTAAATGTTAATTTAAATTAAATAAGGGGCGCCTGGGTGGCTCAGTCAGTTAAGCGTCTGCCTTCGGCTGGGGGCCGAGCCCCACATCAGGCTTCCCCGCTCAGCCCTTCTGTCCTCTGCCTTTCACCCTACTTCTGCTCTCTCTAGCTCTCTCTCTTTCTCTCTCTCTCAAATAAATAAATAAAATCTTAAAAAAATAATAAAAATAAACATTCCATTCTCTCTCATACTAGCCACATTTCAAGTGTTCAGTAGCCAAGGTGGCTAGTGGCTACTGTGTTAGAGAAGATCCAAAATATTTCCATCATTGCATAAAATTCTGTTGGACAACATTGGTCTAAAAGGATGGGATATACATTGTCAGGTATTCCAGGCATTTTTTAGAACACCAAGGTCATGGGGCGCCTGGGTGGCTCAGTCGTTAGGCATCTGCCTTTGGCTCAGGTCATGATCCCAGAGTCCTGGGATCCAGCCCCACATTGGGTGCCCCGCTCAGCGAGGAGCCTGCTTCTCCCTCCCTCTCCCTCTGCCTGCCGCTCCCTCTGCTTGTGCTCTCTCCCTCTCTCTCTGTCAAATAAATAAATAAAATCTTAAAAAAAAAAAAAAAGTCATTACTCTGTAAATTTCTGTGTAGAGTTTGTTTTAGGAGATTGAATTTTTAAAAAAATTAATAGACACTGGTTTTTGAGCAGTTTTAGGTTACAGAAAAATTGAGCATCAATTACAGAGTTCCCATATATTCCCTCACACACATCGTTTCTCCTATTATTTATATCTTCCATTAGTGTGGTGCATTTGTTAGAATTGATGAGCCAGTATTGATACATTGCCATTAACAAAAGTCCGTAATTTGCAATGGGGTTCATTCTTGGTGTTTTACATTTTAAGAGTTTTGACAAATGTATAGTGACCTGCATCCACCATTACAGTTCCTACGGAATAGTTTTCACTGCCCTGAAAATCCCCTATTTATCCCTCCTTCCATTCCCCTGAACCATTGGTAGCCACTGATCTTTTTACTATCTGTATTGTTTTGCCTTTTCCAGAATGTCTAAGGTAGGTTTGTTTTGGTTTTTAATAATAGATTTTTGATGGGGAATGTTAAAAATGATTGAACCTACTGTTAAACTTATTTATAGGGGCGCCTGGGTGGCTCAGTCTCGGTTGGGCATCTGCCTTCGGCTCGGGTCATGATCACCGGGTCCTGGGATGGAATCCCATATTGGGCTCCCTGCTCAGCGGGGAGCCTGCTTCTCCCTCTCCTACTCTCCCTGCTCGTGCTCTCTCTCTTGCTATCTCTGTCGCTATCTCTGTCTCTCTCTCAAACAAATAAACTCTTAAAAAAAAAAAAAACCAACTTATTTTTAGGTCAGTAAACCATTTGGAAGGATAAAGATACGTAACCAAGGCTCAGATTAACAAAATCTTACATTTACATCGCGCCCCATAATTTTTACAGCATATTTGCACTTTTGTTGGCTATTTATTTTTTATTTTTTAAAAGATTTTATTTATCTGACAGAGAGAGGGAACACAAGCAGGGGGAGTGGGGGAGGGAGAAGCAGGCCTCCTGCTGAGCAGGGGGCCCGATGCGGGGCTGGATCCCAGGACCCTGGGATGGTGACCTGAGCCAAAGGTGAGCTGCCAGGTCCCCTTTTGTTAACTCTTTAGCATCACTGGATGCTATGGAGAAGTCTGGAGGAATTATCATTGCCCTCATTTACAGATGACAAACTGCTCAGCAAGGTCAAGTGATTTGCCCAAGGGGTGAAGCCAAGTCTAAAAACCAATACCCTTTGATCTAGACTATGGTAATAAGTAGTATACTAGTGGGTGAATAGTATGGATTTTGGAGTCAAGACTCTTGGCTCTCTGCCACTTACTTTACTAGCTGTGCAACCTTGGGTGAGTTTCTCAATCTTTCTGAACCTCAGTTGCATCATCTGTAAAGTGGCGATGATGCTAACACCTACCACATAGGATTGTTGTGAAGAATAAGAGTTGATGAGAAGCGTTCAGCACAGTGCCAGGCATGTAGAATTTTACTTGATCTGGTAGAGAGAATATATGAAAAATCCATTTCTCTTGCTTTTAGGGTGCTATTAATTTTGTAAATCTA